AGACATTAATTTCTCTTGTGGGTTCTAATCTTATACAAAATTCAAAGCTAGAAAATCCAATAATCCCCACTGTTTTCTCCTTTTTTTGGAAAAAAAATGTAATTTCTGGTTTAACTAAGGAGACATTTACATGAAATGTGTTTTCAAAGATCCAAATTTAAGATAATTGTCACAGAATGTCCTTTACTTAGTGACATATATCACTACAAAAGATGTCCAATAAGCTCCTATTGGAGCACCAAATTCATGGTTAGATTGAAAATACAGTATATGGTCAACTTTTCTCTAAAACAAATCAATAGAAAAAGTATCAGCAAATTAGATTCACATAAGCTTCAGCTTGGGTTAGTCAGTATATACATGTACCGTACCCTTACAAAAAATACTAGAGTTAACTATAGTTTACTATAGTTAACTATAGTGATAACTTTGACTCTATGAAAAGTATAGTTAACTATATTCATAACTTTCATTTAACACTTTGATTTATATAGTGATCACTATGACAATATTGTGATGACTATGAAAACTTTGATTTACTATAGTGATGACTATGAGAACTTTGATTTACTGTTGTGATGACTATGAAAACTTTGATTTACTATCATAATAGTGATCACTATGACACTATAGAGATCATTTTGAAAACTTTGATTTACTATAGTTAATTTTAGTTAATTGTAGTAAACTATAGTGAACTATAGTTACTATAGTGAACTATAGTTTACTATAGTTTTTTTGTTAGGGTAGATTCACTAGTAATCAACACTTTGGGTCAGTCAGCTTATAGATTCACTAGGAAACATCAGCTTGGGTCAGTCGGCTTATAGATTCACTAGGAAGCATCAGCTTGGATCAGTCAGCTTATAGATTCACTAGGAAGCATCAGCTTGGGTCAGTCAGCTTATAGATTCACTAGTAAGCATCAGTCTTGGTCAGTCAGCTTGTAGATTCACTAGTTAGCATCAGCTTGGGTCAGTCAGCTCATGCATTGTAGATTGACTAGCATTAGCATGAGCTTGGATAAGCCAACAAACAATAACGATTACCAACATCAGAGTACATTTATTTACTAGCATTACTAACATATGATCAATATCACCAACTCATTGAACACCATTTTTTTAAAAAGGCGACGATACCTAAAAGTGATCAATCTCAAATATTTTATGAACAGTACAAATTTTTTAACCCTATGTTTTGATCAAGTAAACGAAACAATCCGTGCTCAAAACTGGATTAAAAAGAATTGCCTTACAATATGAAGTAATTATGTCAGTCAAAACACGACCCAACGATAGGCTGTATTTGAAAACAAGGTCATTAATTATAATTACTATAGAATTTGCAAAATGCAGACGTTTAACGATTTTGTTACATGACTGTAATGTTAACATCAGTCTGCTTCGGTCTAAAATTTGATTTTATTCAGAAAATGATCTTGCGTACCGAATCAGTTGAAAGACATAAACACATGATGATATGAGAAGGTGATATTGAATATTGCTACTTAAATAAGGTAAGTTGGGGATGGACTTACTTAATTTGTTATAAAGTTTACTTGTTAGTTTACCATTAATGTCTACGGTAAGTAAAATATCCAAATAAAAACAGATGTGTCAGACTCTGTTGTGTTTTTTCTTTTAATTTACTGGTATATCAAGTCGACATATATGAATGAAAATGAATATTGCTATTTGATAATACATCGTCGACATATGTAACCTTCGAATCAAAAGCCACAGCAATTCTTTCTCATGTAGAAGTTTCTGAAAAAAATCTGCTTCATTAGTATTAAAAAGAAACAGGTTGACTAATAAAAGAGCACAATTTGTACCCATTACAACTCTAATATATTCTTGTGATTTATATATTGCCAGTAAAGGACAACGGCATCTCTTTAATATCAGCTTAAGAATACTTGTGTGTAGAATCAGAATTTGTAGATGGCCAATTAAAAGATATAAAAATTTCGAGCTAATTTTGTATTGAAGAAGCAGTTGTCTGATGTCAAAAACTCTAATCTTTGACTTTTCTTGAGGTGTGATTGTTTAAAGTGTTAAGAAGTCAAACGTTTTAATTTTAAATAAAATCTTGATCTCAAATTTTACATTTAATGTTCATATATACACCACCTTCGTAAATATGTACATTTGAAATATAGCACATTACGTTTGAAGTTTCTTCTTCATTGCAGTTGATATTTTTTGTGAGTTAAGTCAGGGGCTTGGTAGAAAATTTTAAATAAAATCTTGATCTCAAATTTTACATTTAATGTTCATATATACACCACCTTCGTAAATATGTACATTTGAAATATAGCACATTACGTTTGAAGTTTCTTCTTCATTGCAGTTAATATTTTTTGTGAGTTAACGTAGGGGCTTGGTAGAAAATTTACTGGACCCGGCAAAGCATCTTATTTGTAAGGATTTTATGAAACTGTAGAATCCAGTATAGGTTTGATAACTAAAATTAACTTCCGTTGACCGGGATGTTAAAAGTACAAGTGATATAAAGAAAATACTTCAAATACATCAACAGTCTCGTTTAAAGTTAACATTTAGCAAGTTCTATGGTAGATTCGGTGACCTTGTTGGCAAATACAATATTTCGTAAAGTCAAATGTTGACTGACGTTTTTCCGTTCAAATTGTTAGGCAATTATTCTCACACTGAATTGTCTACAGATTTTTTCCGTTTTCCCGATCATGACGAGGAGCATATAGCGGGTATAGACAACGGGGGATGCTTGCTCCTCCATGGCACCTGATCCCGCCTCCCTCTGATGTTTTAAGAGGTCAGTGTTCGCTCTGCTCCCAATTTATATTGTTCCAATTGACTCTTGAGCTTTATAACTTGTTCGTTATCTTCATATTTCACTTCATACATCCCAAAGTTCGTTTTCTCAGATTTTAGTTATTTAGAACATCATAACCATACCTTTTCTTAGCAAATTCTGAGACATAATTGACTCCTTATTTAATTACTTTTTGTCTCTGATCATTTATCTTTTCAACTTAATGATTAATAATGACTTTTTAGGGTTTAAATTTTCTAATATTATTAACATTAAACATATGAATAGCTTTAAACGTAATTTGGGCAATATGGGTAATTTTAGTAAAGTTTTTGCTTTTTATTAAATGTATTCGATTTTAATCTCTATAGATGCCTTGTGTTACGTACACACTTCAAAAATGTGAATTGTCAAAAATGATCATCAGTTAATTTTTCTCAGACAGGAATATGAAGAGTTTAAATGGATTCTCTCTCAGAAACAGAACATAATCTCCCTTTCCCGCCAAATGACACAATGATTATTAGATCGCACACTTTTAGGTGATACATTGTGCACTCTATGTTATTGTTAATTCATCGCTGACAAAACAAAATTCCCAAAGGTTAGCATCTTTCTTCAGTTATTCCCTCTGTGTTTGGTACTTGTAATTGACCAGAACTACTTTCATCAGACACAATACACCTCCGTGTACTATTTATACATCATCCTTATGTTTAATCAATGTATCGGGCCATATGTTTGCTAAGTAGCAATTGAAGTACTGAACTGAAACTCTGATGGCGGTTTGGACACCATAAATGGCCCACAAATGTCCCCTAAATTCGAATCCAAATGGCATCCCGAAAGAAAAACGTCAGAGAGACTTATATGAGAGAATTAATGGTAACCATGTTATTATAATGGAAAGTGTCTTGGGACGTGCGGGTTAATGTAATAATTTAGGCATGTCGGATCATAAATGACAAAAACGACAGGATTTCGATTGATTGTATTTATTAATGAGATGATTTCATAAATATTTTTAGATAATGTTCCTTCTGTGCTATTAGATTAAACATGGTATAATTGAATAGCTCTTTGCTTTAGTCACTAAATGAATCATGGACAGAGAATAAACAAGAATTTTTGATTTCATAGATAATTTTGATTTCATAGATTATGGAGATACCGAGTTCATTTTATTTTGTGGTTTTGGAATGGAATATTATTTAGAATATAATGTAATACGATAATACCACTTATACTTCTTTACCAGTTTATATTTATGGTAGAGTTTCAATTATTTCCATTCTTCATCAGAAGTTATCTGAATTGATTAGTGTCCAAAAATATGATAGAATGATATGCTATTATGATGAAATATTTTCCTAAATAGTGCAAAAAAGGGATTATTAACGTTTTGGTCACACCTTGATCTTAAGATTCAGCCATGACATTAAACTGCACTATCAAGTACAGTAATGGTCGTTTATAACTTGTCTATTATAGGCCGCTTACCCTTCAGTTTGTGATAATGTTATTCAAATACTATGAAAAAGTTTTCTGTCATAAAATTCATTATATCTACAACCTCTAACATATATTTTATATATATATATATAGAGAGAGAGAGAGAGAGAGAGAGAGAGAGAGAGAGAGAGAGGTGGTCCAAAGGAATCAAAATCTTTGATTTCTAAAATCCGTTATTTTTATTATTATTTCTGAGCAAAATACAGAGCAAAATAAAACTGTTACAATGTTTCAAGAGTAACTTTAAAATTTTGGGGGAAAATTCCTAATATGTGCTGGTCGTGAGATTTACATATTTTGATGTAGTCAAAATCAGCTGAAGTAAAATTGGGAGGGAAAAAAAACAACCATTACAAGTCTATATCTATTAAGTTTATAGATGTGGCCCAAATAATTATATATTTCTGAAGGAAAATAAAACTACTAAATAAATTCATTTTTAATTTTTTGAGTGCTTTAGTGGTAAGCAATCTTATTTACTATGAATAGATCGATAATCCTCCATTGTCATTTGCACTTTTCTCTGTTTTTATTTACCCCAATAAAAGGTAGAAGGCAAAGCAATGAATCTTCTAATTTTTAATAAATTTAGAAAGATCTTGTTTTTATTTTTCTCTACACTCTACGTAACATTGGCAACACTGGGTGACCTCATATTCCCTCTATAACTCATTCTTGTACGAAACAGAAACATGGCAGAGTCTTTATTGAAAATAACAAATCGTCAAAATTCTGATCAAAATGCAATTATAATTTTACAAAATCTCTTCCACTCAGTTAATACCTGTAATACGTCTCTCATTATGATTAAAAAAATATTGTATACGTAGTAATTATTCAAATGAATATACATATTAATAATTGTTTGAAAATATACAAATTTACAAAGAGTTAACTAGTAGATTAATCCTTTAAATATCAGATTTATATTTACATTTGTTATATTTACGGATATACATGTAAAATTTACGAATGTATCATTCGAATGAATAGGTTTTTAGGAAAACAATATACTGTCTGTTAAATACTTTTAACATACTTTGCATGATTTATGACAGTAGCGCAACATATAAGCAGCGTTGGAGTTGCAGTGGTTGCTTTTTGCCCAGAGTTTGCAGAGTGTATGCTGGTCTGTGCAAACTGAAACATTAAAATTTTTTCAGTCAATTCATATCTTAATGATTTGATGGGTTTTTTTTCAATTAGAGATGTTAACGAGTATTCGATTACACGACTATTTCTTGGTCATATCGACTAAAGATTTTTTACTCGATTACTCTTCGAAAATATTGAATAGTAAAACTGTGAATATTGAATAGTAATTCTAAATTCAAGTTAATGAATTAAGAAAATTTTCTACCTTCAGTATGCCTTTTTGTGTCAAAGATGAAACCCTTCTCTGACGTGGATCAAATTTCCTTTATTTTAATTTATTCTTGAAACATTTCAAATTGTGTGACCTTACTCTTATTTTTCTAAAATCAAATTTATTGATAAGAGGAACAAAAAGCTATACCTTGCTTGCAGTTGTTGCAGGACTTTTTACATTGTACTAGAGCGTAGACTGGGTTTGTGTTGCACACGCCAGTTTTGGCCCAGGATGGACAACTCTCACTGAAGTCCTCACATGTAGCTGAAAAAGAAGGACATTGCATACCTCCATTCTTATGACCACCACTGGCTCTCTAATAATCACGATTGGTGTTTTCATGTACATTTGGAATTTAATGACGCCAACTTTAGAATAATGTCTGTTTGCCCTTTCCCGACTCAGGATGAAAAATTGGGTCGGTAGGTAGGTGAGAATTTTTTTCAGGAAATTTCAATTTCAATGCTTAAATTTTCAAAATCTACATTGTATTTTCCACAATGCATTAAAAAAAATTATTGCTTCCTGGAGGTTAAGAAAAGTTTTGAGTCGGACAATTTTTAGCCTGTTGGTCGGGAGACCAACATTTTTTTTAAAGATGACCTGAGTGGTAGCAAAATGAAATTTGGCATTCACCACTCCCACCCTCTAGCGAACAGGTTTACCTTGTCTTGGTGTCTTTTCAGTCGTCGTTGAAGCATCGTAAGACTCATCACGCTGTTCTTTATCATCTACTTTAGGGTCCCGTGCCCTTTCATTTGTGTCTTCTCGTGTTCCTATCTTACACTTATTGCAGGCTTTCTGACACATCTTAGACATATAAGATGGGTTTATTTCGCAGTGACCATATTTTGCCCACGTTGTGCAATCTCTGTTATTGTGTGTGTTACTGCAGTTTGGATCTGAATCCGAAAGTAGCGTAATGGAAACACAATTTTTTTAATAATCCACAACTTTATTACTTAAAAATTATAACTCTTAATATTTTAATAATCGTTTTATCTTCATGTGAACGGCAACACCAATTTATTTAGATCTACATCAATATTATATCCTACTTATGTAACATACCGTCGTCTTCATCATCATCATCTTCATATTTTTGTCTTGGTCTTCTCGTTGTCGCCTCACCATCGTTCACATGCACTTCAATATCATCTTCATTTGTCTTGTCAAAGTCATTATTTCTTGTGTTCTTGTCATCATTATCGTTGTTGTTGGTATCATATGACCCATCGAGTTCTTCACAGCTATTACAGGATTCAGCGCAATTCTTCCTCATCCATGAAGGATTTTTAAAGCATTCTCTCTCCTTTGCCCAATATTTACATTTTTTGTCGTCATACAAATTTTTACAGCCACCTATTCGGGCATACGAAATAATTATTTTACTGGGTTATTGAAATAATTCTTTTCAGAAAAAAATCTTTGTTAGATGAAATACATCTGATTGGTAAGGTGATTTTACTTAAACTATATCTTGTTTTAACGAAGCTTACTTCTGTTTTGAAAGTATATAATGTTGGTTGTGGGTCAGAAAATAATCATGAATATTTACCATCTTTGCATCTACCGCAAGATGCTCTACAATTTGGAATCATCCATTTTGGATTTCTTCTGCATTCATCTCGTTTCGCCCAGCCTGCGCATTCTTGTGAATTGTGTTTATCACGGCATCCAATTACCACTGAAAATAGGAATTTGTGATAAAATGGAAAGAATGAGTAGACAAAATTCTAATTCCCATTCATGCATTTATGTGTTGTTTTCTTTTTGACACCATTCATGTTTTCAGTGTGTATCTCCACGTTTTTAATTCCAAACAATCCATATTTGTATATTACCTTCACGACTGAGCTTCTAGAGAAAAATATTAATTGAACATTTGCAAATAGTTTGTACAAAGACGTATCAATCAAAAAAATAAATAATACAGGTAAAACAAAGCAACATAAAAGTAAAACTAGCATGTATCATAGAATTTTCGCTTTTACGAATTCACGAATTAATTTTCGTATGCTGATGATTTTTTTATATTTTATCCTAGTATTTTGTCACTAATTTTTAACTACCATCATCGTCATCATCTCTGTTTCTGGGTCTATTTTCGGTGTCATTATCATCAACATCATCATCTGTTTCATCTGCTGCCTCACACAACTGACATGCTTTTCTGCAATTCTTCTGCATCCATGTCTTCTTTGTAATACATTCCCCTTTCATCGCCCACTTGTTACAGCCTTTATCTCCTTCGATGTTGACGCAATTTTTAGCTGTAAATAATTCATTGTACAACAAAAATAAATACCCATGTTAACAAGTGCTTAAAAACTATAATTGCTCCTTACTTCTTTTTTTAATTGAAGAATATTCAATCTGAATTAATAATTCACATTACTTCTCTTACAAGGGGAAAAAGTCTTTTCCTTTGAAACAAACTCTATGTTTTAACTGTCCAACTGTCCTATAAAAAGTTTTTTTATTATCTATTTGTAGTGTAACCTATTGAAGGTATTCGTGTAAGACATCTTACCATGGTATGACTTTTTTAGTAGATATTCCTCTCAAAAAATGTCCTGTTTATGTTTCCAATAATTTTTGTAGCATATACATGTATATCTAAGACTAAAGAAATCTCGGTACTGTAGATCACTATATTTTCGCGACACCTTATTTTCGCGAGACAGCTAGTGGGTATTTAAATAAGCGAGACAAAATTTTCGCAAGTTACAATTTTTGTTGCATATAACCCTTACTAATACAAATATACGCGAGAATGTAATTTTCGCGAGCAGACAGACTCGCGAAATTACGCAAAAATAACTTTCTCGCGAATTAAAAGTGATTTACAGTATTTTCTTACTATAATTAACATCATTTTTAACTTACATGGTGTTTTCTTTGGCCCAGAGCTACACTTGCCGCAGGACTTCTTACAGAATCTCCCCATCCAGTTGGCGTTAGTAATACAATCACCATTTTTGGCCCATTCCTGACATTTATCATTCTTGAAGTGATCGACACAGTCACCTAATGAACAGAAATTTTAAGAGTTAAGATAAATTTTGAAACAAATGATATTTGAATTCTTATTCCAACCAAAAAGAGGCTTTTATTTTACTAAAATATATAATATACACAGAGAGAGAGAGAGAGAGAGAGAGAGAGAGAGAGAGAGAGAGAGATAAACATGAAGAAAAATAACATTGATGAATATGTATGTGTTTATTAAATTATTGTTTGTGTTCAAACTATGAAAAAGATAAAAAATTTACTTCTTACTCATAGCCCAGTCTCCTGGGAATAAGTTCGCAAACAAACCAAACCACTGCCATGACCAAGCTGCAACGTGATTTTCTGAAAAATAAAAAAAATGAAATAACCTTGCAAAATCGAACCAAAAAACGTCGGGAAAACTCATCTTGCTCTGAATGTTAATTTTTATCCTATCAATTCACAATGGCCTTCCACAGCTCTTAGTACCTCTTTTATTTTCAATTTGTGTCTGTTCTAAAAGATGAGTTCCGATGCTGAAGGATAGTGATTACAGAAATGATGATTTAACCCCTTTATATTTTAGATTTAAGTGTTAGGTATAAATCTTGAGTCCTACTGCGCTCTGCCTTACATAAAATTTAAAGGTTTATTGTCTTATAACAGATTATATTATAGACATTAATTTGTCATTATGACTAATACACTATGGTTCTAGAGGTCTATGTTCGCTCTGCTCTAAATTTGTAACGTTTAATCTGATTTTTCACATTTCATCTTATTCTTATATACTAGTACTTTACTTTTGTCTATTCTAGTTAGATTTAAAATCAGGTTATACTTAACACTATTTTTCTCAGTACCTCCGGTTAACATTTGCTCTACTTGTACATGTAGTATCTATATCGTACCTCCAGCTTCGTCCTCTTCGTGACCACAGACTCGACACGCCCTCTTACAGGACACCTTCATAAAGTCCGGATTAATGTCACATTCACCTTGTGTAGCCCACACGTGGCATTGCCAGTCATTATAAGTATTGACGCAATCTGGATAAAATGGGATAGATCAATGACATAACACTATTGATTCTAATCAATACTAGCAAAGTAATGAAAAAGGTCTTTTACTAAATACATGTATAATATAGTAGATTTCTTTAGCAGTAGTAAAATTTTGCGTTTTGTATACTCAAAAGGTATGCTAATAACTTTGGCGAAACTTTTTTGACACAGTGTTTAATAAAGTTGAAACCAAAACATTACTTAGTACCGTTAAACGGGTGGGTGCTTCAATTCCCTTAAATTTTTGGATACATGTATATCTTCCAGATGAGTTTTCGGTAGGTTTGAATACAGATTTACGAGAGTTCAGAAAGGTTTAGTGTTAAGGACACACGCAAGGTACCTTACTTACTGATAATTTTTCAAGATATTCTTTATTTGAAATTATAGCATCAGATGTTCGTAGGCATAAAATTAACATGCATTACCAGGAGTTTTGAAAATTCTTGTATAATTCAAAGAAAAATATACACAAATTACTAACATATATTCCAGATGTTTTGTTTATCCAAATTTGTTTTAGAAGAAGTGTACAACAGCATATATAGACATTAAAATGTTTAGATCTAAGTATTGAAACTTTTCAACTCCAGAAAAAAAGACAATAAAGTTCAAACTACGTTGCGCATGTCCTTAAATAATCAAAATCCCCCTAGATTTCAGTACTTATATGCATGAGTGCTTTGGTGATTAAACTTAAAGCGGACCATTACCAAACCGCTAAATAAGCCAAGTTAGAGCCCCAATCCTGCCATAAGGCAAGTTGTTTTTTACGTGTATATGTGAGTTAGGTAGTGAGTTAAAATGTACAAGATGTAATATATGCAATATCTGTCTTAAGTTTCTTTCAAAGGTAAGAGATAAAAAAAAGTTTCTTTCAATATAAAATTGTGTCACTTGAATTGTAAAGTCATAGATATATTGACCAATTTTGCTACAAAACATTTTCCAAATAAATAACGATCGGAATATATTGAGAATATATATAATCTACTTATAAAACATTTTTACTTCAAAATCTTTTAATTTTTTTCATTTTGATCTACAGAATTGGAGAATATAGGCATAAAATGACATATTCCTACCACTGCGTCTGTCTGTCTTTAGCTTTTCTCCGGGACTTGGTGCTGTACATTCATCCGATCCGTCAGGACATATGCATTTACAGTTCTGGTCCACGAAACCTCCTCTGATACACTTGATGGTCTTAGGACAATGTGCTAAAAATAGTTTAAACACTGTCCTAAAATGTTTGAAAACGGAATTCTCAGGTGGAAGTTTCAGAGCCAAGAATACGTGCATACGCGTGCTTTTCGTGCTGATTTAACCATATTATCTCCTTTTATACTACTCGTATATTGTGTTTATATACACCGAGTTTCAAAGCATTTCATGAGAAAGTATGAACGTGCTAGCTTGTTTCCAATTATTTCAATTATATATCTGTTATTTCAATTCCATGATGATATGTCTCTAGTTTTGCCAACTGCTGTAACATCTGCGTGAATTTCATTTCTTTTGTTTGAAAACTGTCTGCATTACATAAAAAAAAAAATATTGTAGTGAGTAGACGGCCGTTTCCAATTAATATAATATGCAGAAAGTTCTGTCAACTATCATTTTTAATTTTTTTTTAATTTTTAAATCATGAAGAGTAGTAGATTATTCTACCTGCGCACTCATACATTCTGTTGACAGCTTTAACGTCACTGAAAGCTAGCTCTTTCTTCCACACTTTGCCTATTATATCGGTTGATGTTTTATTCTTAGGACGGATAGTCGTTGACCTCCCGTCCGCTGAGAAAGCCTGTAAAGACAAATATTTACAAAAATACATGCATAGCTATGTTTTAGACAAATCCGATATTGTATTTAACCTTTTTAAAATGTATTCTTTTGATGCCATTTAATTGGGATGCTTAAAATCTTGCTCCGGGGCCATAAAACTTAGACGAGCTCACTTTTGATCTTAGTCTCACTTTTACCAAAGGAATTAATGGTGGAAAAGTGAGACTGAAATCAAAAGTGAGCTCGTCTAAGTTTTATGGCCCCGGGGCCTTATGCCTACCGTTGTTCCATAATGCATAACAGACGTCAGCTCGTAGTTGACGTCATATTGATTAACTTCCCTGGTCCTATATTTCTGGAACCACACGCGCATGCTTGGAGCAACATTTGCAAAGATGATGTCGATGTAGTCATCCCGGTTTGGTAGTTGGTGTTCGTGAACCAGGCCAATGGCGTGACCAATTTCGTGCAGGTAAAGTCCTTTCTTAATAAATTGAATGAATTGAAAAAAAAATATAAATGTACATCAGTGATTCCTTGAATGATTTATGAATGTAGCTTGAAATTATGCTATGACATATAAACATTCTGAGTGACGTTTCATTTCACTTTGATATACTGTATGTGTACTTTAAAAAGCGGGCTTCATATTTTAGCGGCTTTGGCGCGGACAACGATGCTCTAATTCATGAATACCGCTAATAAATCATTTATTAATACAATACATGGCGCGGACATGTGTAGCGCTAATTTATGATTACGCCAACAACTCCATATCCCATGATTGCGCTAAATTTTGAATACGCCGATTTATGTACACGTACAGTAAGTCTTTTATTAAGAGTTTGTCAAAAATGGCAATACAAAGACATACATATACATCTCAAAAAAACTTTTTAACCTAACATGCGTTTGTAAACTAATTAAATACACATTTTGGAAATGAATATATTGCCACTGAACAATGGCGCAAAGTAAAGAATTTTGCAATTTCATTATAGTTTTACATTCATGATTTGTATTTTCTTTTCTAGTATTTAGTTGCTACCCTTTTGCATGAATACAGCCTGTATGTAACTAGGTTACTATGAATAACGTTTCCACATCTAACGTTTAAAGGATTTTAGTTCCATTCCCGCTGATGTGTCTTCCATATGTCTTTCTCTTGCCACTGGCACTTTTCACCTGAATCCTATTATTTCACCGTAAATTTCATCTTAAAATTTTGGCTTGTTTCCCGGCCCCGTTAGTGTAGAAAATACATTGCATTTGAGAAACCCTCTTGTACTTTCGGGAAATACTAAAAGATGATAGTACCATTTGTGCTTGATACGTATTTCCAAAAAATGATTTCTATGCATGATTGAGCAGCATGACACAACTGAAAAGGCACAGAAGAGTTTCTCAGACGAAATGTAGTCTGTATACTTTCGTTGTCCTGGAACAGTCCTGATTCTAACTCTAATAAAAACATTTCGGGCCAGGCCGGACCTTACTCAGAAAATGCAAACAGCTTATAATTTAAAAGATTTAAAGCACTCTTGCAAGAAGGGTGCTCAATTGAAAGAAAGGATTCTTTGAAAACTCAATTCAAAACATGTCTAACTGCATTAAGGTTGTTGTTCGTGCAGATCGGGGAGCAAGTAAATACTACATGTACATGGTAATTTGTTTATTATGAATCTAAAAACTTTAATAAAATTGCAAAATTCAACATATCTTTTGTATATGCCTTTGATTAGTAGCAAAATTTTTATTTTCAATATGTGTCTTAAATTACTTCACAAAAGCATACTTGGTTTTATAAAGATTATTGATATATTTGTTATATGATATTCATAAAGTAAATCCAGAATAAAGTGACAAAATAATATCTATTACATTTTCAACAGTGAAATACTGTGATTTATCTATTGAATAAAAGTGATATTCTCTCACAGTGTGAAAGGACACCAAAATGATATTTTCTCACAGTGTGAAAGGATATCAAAGTAGGTAAAAAAAATAATTCCTGGCCTGTCATAAGACAAAGATAGTAACTAACCATCTTGATAGAGCTAAAACTACAAATTTCTCCCAAAATATGTTGCTAAATTCCATGCTATGTAATATTTCAATCTCACAACTGCTAAGCTATGACGTCTCAACCGCTCAACTATGACGTCAAGCTTATGACACTGTGTTAAGAAAAGACAGGGGCAAAGGGAAAAATCAAAGAAAATGTAATAAACAGAAAATTCAATGTTTTGTTATGAATATGGATTTAATTTCACTCGTGTGACAGGATTTTTTGATATTTTCACTTGTGCTTCGCACTCGTGAAAATATCATAAAATCCTGTCCCACTCGTGAAATAAATTCCATATCCATCTACAAAACATTGAATATCCTCTATATATCAAATACAAGAAACATACATTTTATTTTGTTCAAGACGATTTGCTTATTATTAAAGATCAAAACATTACATATTTTTAATACTGGAAGCATTGTTTCAGACATTTCTTACCCATCTGCAGCCATTGATGTCTAGGTTTAAGATTTGTTCTCCTCCAACCATTCCAAGTTGTGAATTGCATCTAGATAAAAGAGGCTTTCTTTTATAGATAGGTTCTTAAATACAATATCATTACTGATGAAATGGTCACTTTCTTCCATAATTCTTTTATCATTTGCGGGTATTATAGAAAAAAGGCTTACCCATGTCCATTCTGAATGCGGACAAAATTCACATCGCTGCTAGTTTTCTCCCGGAATTTGATACAGGTGTACTTTTCCCATTCTCTCATTGCTGTTTTCATGATGTACAATTCCTTTGTGGCTTTTTAAATCAAAATTTAAGAAACATATTTTTTAAAATAAGATCTTCAAAAACCATGAACACTGAACACTGAAACCATAAAATGTCTAAAGAGCATCCAAACTTGGAAGATTTGATTACGTACTGAATCGATGAAATTCATAAATTTAAAAAGTTAACATGTGTTTAACATTTTTTTCTTCTTTTTGTCACATGAATTTTTCTTATATGAAGACAAACTAAATTGATAATATATTCATAATTAATTACATACTAAAGTGTCCATTGGCAAAAGTATAGGGCATGACTCCGTCCGTCCATCGTAGGTCTGTCCGCCTCACCGCCTTTCTCTTCTTTCGCTTTTGTTCAAAATAGGGCATCATCTCTAAAGATCCACTATAGTGAGAAATGATTCAAAAATATGACCCATTAAAATTTAAATTTTGACCCACTACATTGAAATCAATTAAAATGTTGACCCATTAAAGTAATTAATAAATAAGGTTTCGACCCACTGGAGTGAGAAACTTAATATATCGGTCCCAAATACAGTAAGAAATACATTAAGAATACTGTAAAATCGCACTAATTTTCAAAAGGGGGTAATTTCCTTTTTTTTTTTTGTCCTAAGAAGAGACCAATTAATTCATGTTCTCCACGAAATTTAAAATTTCAAATAAATAATAACTCAATACTTCTTCAAACACGAAATCATATCCCCACAATACAATATTTTTATTGTCAAATCACGAAAATTTGACCCCACAAAAATTAGTGATTTTACAGTATTGAGCCACGAGAGTTACAAACAAATAAACCCATTATGTAAAAATCAAAATAATAGTCTCAAATACCGAGAAACAATCAAAATATTAACAAATCACAATTACAAAGAGTTCAAATTAAAATTATGACAGGTTTCAGTGACAAACAAATAAAATATTGACCAATTGAGGTGTTTAATGAAACAATTTTCAAAAATTTACGTTTATTGCTTGTTGATTGGTGGAAGTGTACAAGCAGAAAGACAGGGTTCATTTACTGCACTATTTTGCATACAATATAAACTAGAGGAACTGTGAGCACTGAGCTCACAAAATGATACCCCCTTCTCCCATGTGTTTATAATGGCAAAGTTCATGTTTTGCTATGGAGATCCGAAATAAGTGTCCAATCAAAAAGTAAAATAGGAGGTCACAATGGCACTACATAATAAAGATTTTGTGAAAGTACATGTATCAATATTTACATTTGCTATGTTTTTCTACTAAGCCAACTGTAGCAACTGATTTGAAGTTCATTTTTGTGTATACTCACGCGTAGAAATATACACGGTGAAACTCGCGGTAAAGTGACGTCACAATGAGGCTACAGAGACGTTAATAAAAATGTAACGATATAGGGCAGCAAGAAATTCAAATATTGAGCATAATATTGTTGCTTTTGAACTTGTAAAATGTAAATATAAGGAATGTTTTTCAGTTTAGTGTGAATTATTGGTGTGTAAATCACACAGACCTGTCACGTAGGCATATTTTTCATGAAGCGCTAGCGCGCTTCATGAAATATGCCTACGTGACAAGTCTGTGTGATTTACACACCAATAACTCACACAAAACTTAAAAACGTTCCTTAATTAAATTTTATTCAGTGGTATAGCAGGATTGCAGATAAGAGATGGGTACCACTCAATGTTATAGAAAGACAGGCAGTGTTCTATGTTGTGCCATTGGAAACCCGATATATGTATCTGATCTAAAAGTAAAATATGAAGTGCATAATTGCATATGTAATAAAGATTCTTTGAAAGTATTATAAAGAGCTAGGTTCACTTTATGCATAAAATGGCCCTGTAGATATACCAATTAATTGACTAACACCTTATGTTCCATTTTATACATCAAGATAAAGTAGAGACTTAGTGCTTTCATTTCCTATTAAAATTTTTCTCCTTAAAGTCCAGGTCTTGGAAAACAAGCTTTATGGAATTGCAATGTGCTTGAATTTTAAGGAAAACTGGCATATTTAAGTACTTTCAGAGAAGAAAAATAATATGAGCACACCCTCTAATCTAAAGAATAAAACATGTTTTGTAATACTCAGAAACGGTTCTATCAGTAAATTATTGCATATTTTAGATCAGAGATTGCGCTCTATATTAAATATAGAAAAAAATAGCTTTAAGAATTGGCTGTTTTTGTAGAATTGTCCAGGATATGAGGAAAATGACGCATTTCATGACGTCATAATGCATTGACTAGCCAGAAAATTACGTCATTTTTGGTAGATTCGCAATGGCCAAATGTCTAAATGAAATTTAATGCATTGTCAACTAAAACTAAGCAGTTTCAGTTTTTCAGAAATTCACAGGGCCAAAAAAGGCCCTAAGTGAACTTTGTTCTTTTATTCAGTGGTATAGGAGGAATTGCGGATAAGAGATTGGTACCCCTTAATATTATAGAAAGAATGGCAGTGTTCTATGTTGTGCTATTGGAAACCCGAAATATGTGTCGGATCTAAAAGTAAAATAGGAGGTGCACAATGGAACCATGTAACAAAGATTCTGTGAATGTATCATTAAATTTAATATAATGGTATAAGAGGAGTTGCGGATAAGAGATATGTACCCCAAAGCGTAACAGACGGACGGACGGACGGACACCCCCATCAAGCGGGGGGTATACGTGTAGTAAGAAATGAATTGATCTAAATGATATGATAAACTTACAGATAAATTAATATTCTATAGATACCGTTCTTTTATACTGTAAGCCCTACCAATGCATTGTATAAATAACGAATAAATATTAGTTTTTTGTACAATTCTGGTGCACTGTAGAACAGCTGATACTGTTCCTCTGTAAGGTTCATATCAAGTTCTGCCAAAATATTTCCGCCAGGGGTGATCATTTTCTGAGCAGCTACTGTAAAAGAAATAAATTTAATTGAGTATTTCAAGTCATGGCACATGCAAGTACGGATTGTCAGTTCAGTGAGCTGAAGGCTAGGGGCCTTGGAGTGCAAAGAAGCAAAAATTTTGAATCATTTTCTAAGTTTTGATGTTTTCTTTACTCCTGTGACCAACACTTTTTTTGTTTTCTGTATTTAAACATGTTTATATGCATACAAATAAACAATGGTTAACTTGTAAATTCTACGGAAATAAATAATTTTGAATTTTATTGATTTTTATGTCACAAACAATTGAAATGTTTATTCTAGAAGAAGATTCGCATTTTAAATTTATGAAATTGAAATATGAGGTGGTTGAATGAAGAAGGGATTTCTGGATATTTTATCAACAGCAAATTTCAAAAATTTCCATCCCAATCAAATTTTTGCACTAATATTCCTGTATTACTTTTCAGTGTAAACATTTGACATACTTACGGTCGATTCCTCCTAGAGCCTGGGTGATGATTTCGTCTATGGTCAGATCTGTGTATTGCTCCACACCCTCTATATTTTCTGGGGAGATATCTAACTTTTTCAACTCCTCCAGCATTTGACCAAAGCACACAGCGGCCAACGCCAACGTCTGCAATAAGTTTAACGCCTGTATTTTAGCTTACTTTCATTAAAGGTGCATAGACACAGATTTGAAGGTTATATTTTCTCAGATTTACTGTATAATATCACAACTTATATGTTGCTTTAGCATTTCACTCGAAAATAAAATTAAAAACTTCTTTAATCTGGAAATTATTGAAACTACGAATTTCGGGAGGCGTTTGATTAACACATCCTTTCACTTTCACAATTTTTAACTTTATTCTTAATACTTAAGAAAAGTAGCAATTTTGTTGTGTATTCATGAATAATATTACATCAATAATCCAGAAAATTCAGAGTAAAAATGTGCGAAAGCAAAACCCACTCACTTAAGTATTGTAGCCCGTGCTCAGTGTTGTGTAGCTATGTACAGAGTTTAACAAATTGAATACACCCGTGAGACGTAAACTGTTTTTGTAAACAGGGCACGAGCTCTGTTGTTGTTAATGTTTACGTTTCACCGGGTGTGTTCAATTGTTAAACTCTGCACACACCACTGAGCACGAACTGACAATACTGGTGAGAGGATTTTGCTTTCTACATTTCTACTCTGAAATTTCTGCATTACAGTTTTAATATTTTTTATTAATAAACAACAAGATTGCTACTTTTTTCAAGTAATAAGGATAAAGTTAGAATTTGTGAAAGTGCAAGGGTGTGTCTATCAAACGCGTCCAGAAATTCGAAATTTCAATAACGTCCAGATAAAATAAGATTTTTATCAAATTTTCGTATGAAATGCTACAGCAACATATATAAGTCATGAAATTATACAGAAAATTTGAGTAAATATTAACTTCAAATCTGTGTCTAAGCACCTTTAAGCTAGTAGTTTCATGTATTTTCTTTCCCGCGGAAATTTGTCACGGTGTACATAAAGTGTTTTAAGATATACATTCCAATCCAAGAAATTTCCTTGAAATTTTCTACTCGCAGATTGAACAGAAATTTTAATTCTGTGGAATTATGACCCCGTGGAAAAAAGTATGTTTACAGTATTCAAAAAAATTGAGGGAGCAGCATGTTCGTACCCCAGCTGTGTGCTTCGTTTAGAAGAAAAATTAAACCACCAAACAGTATGTTGTGATTTTGTTAAACATCTCTTGCAAATGTAAATGTACATCATTAGGTCCATAGCTTCGTGATAAAGAAATCGAATTTAGAGAATCGGTGTATTAGGAGTTAAATGTCATGTTGTAATTTTTTAATTTACCGGGTGGCAGTAAATACAAAATTTACAACATGACACCCGGTAAATTCAAAAGAATGAATCCTCATAACACTGCTTTCTCGCCCCTTTTTAAATGCAGAATTTTACATTTTCAAATCAGAACATTGTTATATTATAGCTAAAGTCTTCAAGCATAGTCTGTATAGATACTCATAAAAGATTTTGGGGGGGGGGGAAGACACTTTCAATATATACATTATATCGATTAAATAAAATCTTACACTTCACTGTAAAATTCCGGTTTCGCCATTACAGCTATAGGTAGGTCATTGTATTATTTGAATGAGAAGGCGGAGCGTCTCTCAAGCGTGCGATTAGTATGAATACATTAGCGTGTGTTCGAAGTGTACTAAGTTTTATGATTAACTGACACCTAAAAAACCTTTTTCATGCTAGAGACCGACAAAATATAAGCATACATTTTTAATTTGGCTGGCTTAACTTTGATTTCTTTTCTGCTTAAATTACGAGTCGTATTTGAAATGATTTACTAGAAATTCGTTAAGTTATTTAAATATTGAATACACAATGGAATTTGGAAACAGAACGTAAAATGAAAGATACACTATTTTTCACACTTTAAAGAAACCCCTTTTTTGAAAAAGAAATAATTAATTCATTTAAGCTTATTACGTACGTAATTAGAAATTGTTCATACATATATAATTTTGCAAAATCCGAGTGCTACAACAAATACACGTAGGCGGTTGAATTACGATATAAAACTACACTCGGTGTATAAAAAATAGATAGTTAAGAAAGTGAAAATTTAAACGTCAATTAAACGTCAATTTAACGTCAGTATCATCGCTGGTGGATAAAGAAACATCCGTGTCAGTGTACTTTGTACAGTCCAAATTGCATTGCTTCAAAAAATCCTGTTTATTCATGCCAGACAAGTTAATATGATCTTCCTCATTTCGGAATTCATTAATTGTCGAAATCCACTCCTGTACTTTTTTGATTTTAACAAACTCTCTCCCTGTAGTAAGATAAATAATAAATCACTCCGAGGTATTTTTAACGCCCTTTTTCATTCGAGTGATTTTTTTTTTACTTATATCTAGATCGGACATGTGAAAGGGTCATACAAATGCATGTTCTTGCTTTTAAACATTATGCTTTAAAAATACCTGCGAACATGGACTTTCTTATACATGATCTAAAAAAAATTGTGAAATTAATTTTGTGCCGATGTAAAAAGTTATACCATTTGCTTCAGATTAAACCTGAAGCTTTCTTCTATTCAAATTAGGGGTGCTTTTTGTGCAAATGTATTCATCAAGTGACTTTTCTTCCGATACACAGGTTTTTTGAGCGCTCCGTACTTCAATTTCTTTCCATGAAGGTTTCTTTTATTGGAAGTATGCATTTGTGCACTTTTAACAAACAATTTATTTTTCTAAAGATATGATGAATTGTTGTTTTTTTTTCAAATAACGGACTATAAAATTAATGACAGTTTTAACTGAAAAAAATCTTTCATATCTTCCAAGGCAATGAACGGAGCACCGATGTATATTTTCAGGAACAAGGGCAAATGAATCATATATACCCACAGTAATTTAAATTTTAAAATTCTGTATTTATGAGACACAAGCAGTAAGTGCAAGCTACATGCTACAGGACTTCAATATAAATTGATATATACCAAAAAAAAAAAAAAATCAAACAAAATCGACTGAAAATATTAACACATCTTAATCATAATAAAGTTTTCTCCCAGAATTTTAATTACCCATTTGAAATATGATTTAACCATCGATAGCTCGCAGACACTAGACACAATATGTCGCGTAGGTGTGCTCAAAGCGTGGAAGTGAATAGATTTGAGTCACGTGTTCAGTGCTTTGTTATTCATGAGGTCAAAGACGGGTTGAAATTTGTTAACAAGGTGCCTTTACTATGGAGACAAGCACCCGTGATTTTGCACCTTTTAGGAAAATAACAAATGAGCGCAAGACTGTTTCAATTTCTTTCATGAATGTAAATGACTAGTATAACTCTTTACATTGACCGTATATACGACAACTTGAAACATCCATGCGCTCATATAAAAAAAAAAATGGGCTTGCAAAATGGGGGTGTGGCCTAAAGTCTATGAGAAATCGATGTAAACAATATGCCCCTGCTATATTAATCACATAAATACCTAATTACAGCGCAAGGAAGTAAAAATTGAAATTGAAATTAATAAACTACAATGTTTGATGGAAAGATCGAGGCAAAAATATTTAGAAAATCTTTAATTTAATTTTTTGTAAATTATCGGGGCGCCAGATTTGGACGTTTAAACGATTCATCCTTTACAACATGACATTAACATCAACATTATCGTCTAAATGGTGAGATTATATATATATATATATATATATATATATATATATATATATTGTTAGAATTTTCAACAGTTTTAATCCCGGGGTATAAACTCGACTTTAATTCTACACAACCGATTTTTGCAGACTTTTTTCCATGACATAGTGTAAAAAAGAGTCTAGATCTGTTAAAAGATCAACAATCGCACGTCAATCAAATTAAACCGCCATGATGGTTTTAATTAAAAGTAACCACCTTAATGTAATACTATATTACAATAACTTCGAAGAGGTGCCTTATAAGATACATTCCAAAAATTATAATAGTGAAGGCTTTAATTCTCATGATTCTGGAGCAGTGTAGTCTGAAAACAAAATTCATATGTAAAATTATAAGAAAATTGTTCTTATTTCATTATTATAACATCTCATTTACTCATTTAAAGCACACCCAAAAATTACTAATTTTCTCTGAGATGTGTCATCAGGCAGTGGTTTTTTCATCAACGAGGGCTCATTTCCTGCTGTAGATTTTCCTCTTGGATGTTAATGTATTTGCTCTAGATACCACAGTACATCATTAATTGCAAGTAGTCTAATATCTGTGTCCCAAATAGCACTTATCTAATTCATACACATATTAATAGGTTTGCTGCTCATTTGAAACAATAACAAGGGTTTTCGTATGTAGCTTTATCCAGGTTTTTGAAAGAAAACTTTTAAAAGAGCATTGCATTATCTCATTGGTGCTATTTATTCAAATATTTTTTATCAAAAGGGAAATCTTAGAATAGGGGACATGAATTCACGTTTTTGATAATGATGTTCAGAACTATGAGTGCACAGTGCTTATACATATCTGGGGTATAATACATATGATAATATATGTATCGCACTATATTTCTTTAAATTGTATGTAAAGGATACCGTGCAACATAGCAAATAAACGTCAATTGCATTAAATAAATTATTCAAGAATCGAATAGTTGAAACAATAGAAAAAAATAGAAGGAGAGAAATGTATGTATACGTACAGAAGAGTAAAGTTTTACAATAAAGCATCTCTCACTGAAAGAAAAGTGAAAGATATCATATATTTATACATATTAAAACAAACGTACCGTTAAAACCAGCAGCTGAAACATTGTTGTTAAATCACTGGTATATCGCCATAGACGTTGTCGCCAATGACTGTTGAGGGAAGAGATTGGTTTTTGTATGGTTGTCGACAGGACGAAAATGGCGGAAAACGCTTCACACAAAAGCACTTCTTCAAAGTGCTTTCGGTACTTTTTTTTTCTTTAATTGGGTTATGTTTTCATTCTGAAAGTGAACTGTGTGTGGTTGACACGATGGTTGACTTGAAGTGGGCAAAGTAATGACCATGTGCATTAACTGACTCAGTTTATTTCAGATCAGCGTTTGATTACTCCATCGAAAGGATTGCTAGCAAGGAAACTGGTTCCCGCATGCTTTATATGTAAAACATCAAAGCTAGGGGAAAATTGAAAAAGGAACACTTTAAATCCAGAATATGTCTGATTCATACATTGAATGAAGTACATATATTTTAGAAAGGAAGTGCATTTCCTTTATTTAAAAAAAAAGCATCGTTCTATTTTTAGACTTTTTACATCTGCCCAAAATTTAAATTCTTTGACACACTGATATAAAGGAACTCATAAATAAAATGTTTGCTTATATTTTGCAAGAAGTTGGTTACTAAAAAAAATGAAAAATAAATACAACGGAAATTTTTAGCATTTTAAGATAGCTCATAGTTGCTTAGGTTTCCTCAAGAAGATGAATCTTTGTAGATTACAATTTACCTGCACAGGCTCATGATCACACATAATTTTTTTTTTTTCATTTTTAACTTTGTACATGTACTTATCATGTACTTCACACTTTCTGAAGAGGCACCCTTGCTCATCATAACCATGTACTTAGTTAGTTTATTTGATACCCAGGAGCAGAGAAGAAGATTTTAAAAGAATTAATGCGTTTGCACTATATGATCAATACAGCACCGCCCTAACACCAGAACCCTGACCCAGGGGCCATGAAATTCACACTTTCTGAAGAGGCACCCTTGTTCATCATAACTTTTTTCTTAATTAGCTTGTTTAATACCCAGGAGCAGAGAATAAGTTTTTAAAAGAAGCAATGTATTTTCACTGTGATCTATACAGCCCCGCCTTAGCACCAGAACCGCTGACCCTGGGGCCATGAATTGCACAATCTTGGTAGAGGGCTTATAGTGGTGATTACAATCATGCCAACAAGTTAACTGTTTGATGTCCAGAAGTAAAGAATATGTTTTTTTACGATTTCACGAATGTCGATGGTTTTAGCCCCATCCCTCAGGCTTCCCCCGGGAGGGGGGGGGGCATGAATTTCATTTTTTTTATTTCCCTTCACCCAAAGATGCTACGTGCTAAAATTGGTTGAAATTGGTTCAGTGGTTCCAGAAAAGAAGCTAAAAATGTACGACGACGGACGAAAACAGACAGCAATAGGTCACCTTAGTGAATCAGGTGACCTTATAATTATATAACTCTTAGCAGGTAATAGAATTTTTTTCGGTAATGAGTGCAATTGATATTTAATTATCCCTAAGAACAATTTAAGCAAATAAAGCATTTCATTATTTATAACTTTATAATGTTTTCGATTCATATATACATGTATAAAGTGGTTGAAAGTAAGCAAAAAGTAAGGGTGAAGACAGAAACATTTGTCTTTTTTCCAACTGTCTTTAATATTATTGTCGCTCTTCCTATATTTTATGAATTTGCGGAGTAAGGATTGATCCTTACGTCGCGGGTTCGAATCCCACTGAGGGACGTGGAGACCGTCTTTCGGATGAGACCGTGTAAACCTAGGTCCCGTGTCGCAGTCGGTGCTGGCACGAAAAAGATCCCTCACTTCTCAATAGGTCTAATTTGCAAAAATTGTTTATATGGACTTTTGAGAAGAATCGCTGTTTTTTATGTTCACATTTCACGCTACAACCGACTCACATTACCCAGATGAGTGTTTAATTTGCTTAATATGTTTGATCCTAAGTCACGATAACTATTATCATTTAATTGTACGGTTAATAAATTTAAAGAACTTTGCAGCATTTTGAAATTTGTTCCCTTTTGATTCTTTGGTTCCTGGAATATGGCCCTAGAACGATGATTAAGTCTACCATCAAAGAAAATCCTCTTTCCTAGATAAATTGAGTCTATTGTGATAATGAGCTATTTGCCCTTAACTGAAGTTTTGGAAATCATGTCCAGATAACATTCAAAAAAGTTGAAGCTATCTTGGTGATTTTTTTTAAATTATGTTTTCAACTTTTCTTTACTCTTGGACAACTAAAAATGAAGTTATCAAAATACACATGTATATGTATTAAATGTGAGTAAAACGAATGCTTTCAAGGTATTAAGCTCAAAAAGTCCAATCAAGCAAAACAAGAGGCCCATTGGCCACATCGCTCACCTGAGCACTGTGGCTAGGGTAAAAGGGAAAATCAGTATTGAAAAGGTTTAAATGCATGAGTGGTCCCGACCCACACCTAAAAGGGGGCATGATTTGAACAAAAACTAAGGATGCTTACATACATGTATGTCTTTCATTAACTGTGACTTTTTTCCCTATAAGTTTGAACTTTCATTGTGGTCCCGCCCTAACCCCGGGGTCATGATTTAAACAAACTTGAATCTACACTATCTGAGGAATCTTCCGAATAGATTATGACCAAACATGGCTTTGCAGTTCTTCTGAAGATTTTTCCTACGTAAAATTTTGAGCGTCCAATGTGGCCCCATTCTACCCCCGGCGGTCAAAATTTGAACAATGAATCTACACTACCTGCGGATCCTTCCATATAAATATGACGAATCATAGCTTTGCTGTTCTTGGGAAAAAGAATTTAAACGATTTTTTCTATACACTAGTACTCCTATGTAGAACTTTGATCATCAATTGTAGCCCCACCCTACCCCGGGGATCATGATTTGAACTAACTTGAATCTACACTACCTGTGGTGTTTCCATATAAATATGACCAATCATGGCTTTGCTGTTTGCTGTTCTTCAGAAGATTTCTAAAAGATTTTTCCCAAGAATTCCTATGTAAAAATTTTGATCGTCAATTGTGGCCCCGCCCTAATCCTGGAGGGTCAAAATTTAAACAAACTTGAATCCACACTACATGTACCTGTGAATGCTTCCATTTAAATACTAAAGTATATGTCCAATCTATATGTCAAAATATGTGCTTTGCTGTTCTTGAGAAGAAGATTTGATTTTTTAAAAAGATTTTTCCTATATATTCCTAATAGATGTAAACTGTGGTCCTATCCCTTCCCCGGGGGTCATGATTTGAACAAACTTGAATCAACACTATAACTGTGGATGCTTCTATATCAATATGACGAATCATTGCTTTGCTGTTCTTCAGAAGAAGATATTTACAAGATTTTTTCAATATATTCCTATGTAAAACTTTAATCGTCCATTGTGGCCCCATCCTACCCGCGGGTGTCATGATTCGAACAAACTTGAATCTACACTACCCGAGGATGTTTATATATAAATATGACCAATCATGGTTTGCTGTTCTTGAGAGGGAGGAAGATTTTTAAAAGATTTTTCCAATGAATTTCTATGTAAAACTTTGATCGTCCACTGTGGCCCCGCCCTAACCCTTGGGGTCATGATTTGAACAAACCTGAATGTAAATCATATATGGTACCAATTGCAATTTTGATGCACCAGATGCTCATTTCGACAAATTATGTCTCTTCAGTGATGCTTAAGCCGAGAGGTTGGGAATCCAAAATATTTTAAAAGAATTGGAAGAGCTGAAAAAGGTGCCAAAGACTGGAGCCAAATACGTCGAAGGATCAGAGCTATGCATGAGGGAGATAATCCTTAATTTTGAAATAAATTTCTAAGTATTACTATACAGCGATCAAATATATATCCGTATTTTCAAGCTAGTACCGAAGTACTAGGTTATTATGTTAATCTGCACCAACTGTGAATGCTTCTATATAAATATGACCAATAATGGCTTTGCTGTTCTTGAGATGAAGATTTTTAAAGATTTTTCCTATATATTCCTATGTAAAACTTCGATCGTCCATTGTGGTTCCCCCTACCCCCGGTGGTCTTGATTTGAACAAACTTGAATCTACACTATGTAATGAAAGTTTCACATAAGTTTCAACTTTTTTGGTCTAATGGATATTGAGAAAAATTTTAAAAGATGACATCAAATGTTCACTAATTTACCAATTTGTATACAATTTGTATACATCTTGAAATAGGGCATGCCCCGTTATTTGAAAAAACTTAAATTCCCTTTACCCAAGAATGCCTTTTGGCAAGTTTGGCTGAAATATATGGAGATAACGAACAGTATTCAAGCTCAAAAGTCCATTATACAATACAAAATAGGAGCAGAGCAAACACGAACCTCCAAACATTGAAATTGGTCCAGTGGTTATTGAGAAGAAACAGACGAACGGACGACGGACAACAGGTGATCAGAAAAGCTCACTTGAGCTTTCAGCTCACAGGACAGTGACAAAATACGTTACTATTTGACCAAAAATCGCTTTTTGAAAGATATTAATTCTACAGATAAAAATAAAATAAATTCCATTTGCAAAATAAACGAACGAAGGCTGGCAGCAAAATCACGAAATTATAGCAATTAATGAATGATTGAAGACTCTGAATATATTCCCGGTATAAAAAGGTACAATTTGTTTCTCCGTTTATTTTTTCAGAATTTTAACAGGTTCCTAGCTCATGTACCGAAGTTGTTTTTTCTCTCCGATGTAGTGTTTATAAATTCTGGATCATGAAACAATGGGAATCAAACTTTTCAGAAAGTTTCTTTGGGGTCTTGACTACGGTATCCGGTATGACGCTCGGAAGTTTGGTTTGGTGTTAAGGCATGCAAATATTCTAAATCGGTACTTATTTAAGACAGGGGGGGGGGTAAGTAAGGTATACTATATAAGAAGTGCATATGGGCAAAGATTCCTTGAGATCTGAAGGAAAAGGGTCAGGTTAACATCATATAATTGCCATAAGCAATTTCTCTGTTTACAATGACTTTGGCCTTGGCCCAATTTTGAAGTCAAATATATCACAATTATATAATATGCAGGTGCTCCAAAGGTTTATGGCTTTTCATGTAGTAGTTTTAAGCTTTATCTGAGACAATCTGATTAAAATCAGATCCTATGATCCGCTCACGTAGATCGCTACATGATCTATGTGAGCGGATCAAAGGAACTGATTTTAATCAGATTGTATCGGAGATAACTGAAGAACTGTAGCATGCAGGAAAGGAGTAATGAATAAAATAAGATATATACGGGGAATCGAATTTGAGACCCTCGTACTATTACTTGCCAGGTGCTCTTCAACTGAGTTACCAAGGTCTATATCCATGGTTCGTAAAGCCCGAAATTCTACATTCCGACCTTGAAGACACAAATTTACACATAACCTAAACTACCCCCCCCCCTCCCCCCCCCCCCCACTGGCCACCAAATGTAGCAGGAAATGAGGAATGTATAAAGGCATTAAGACAATATATGACTGGACCGGGAATCGAACCTGGAACCCCTGTACTATTACTAGTCAATGGCTCCCCGACGGGGAATCGAACCCCTGTCTCCCGGGGATACTTTAACAACTTTACATATATAGGATTCGACTTCTCAAAGTTGCTTCCATTGACTTTGACCTTTGACATTGGCCCAATTTTAAGGTCAAAGGTTTCAGACAGTTCACAGTTCCAGTAATAACAATGCTTCAGAGTTTTACCGCTTTTCGTGTAAGAGTTAAAATTAAGGCTTTATCCAAGAAAAATGAAGAACAATCTTCATGCACCTCCTCAAAGTTGCTGTCATTGTATACTTCGAGGAAAATGGTTGATTAGCATCAATTATACTTTTATTGACCCCGTCGCTTTCAAAACTGACCGGGAGGCTTCGCGTGATTTCCAGAAGTCATAGTCAAACCATTGCAAATATCCTCAAATCAGTCTCAACATTATACTTCTAAAGTTCTTTTGAACGCAGAGAGAGAGAGAGAGAGCGCGCGAGAGAGAGCTTCAAATTGTACACATTTTAGTTGTTTGTTCGTTATTAAGGTAAGTGAATGCAATACCATGAATACATGCCAAAATCGTAATATTTATACAAATAAATTATTTTATTAGTCCGAAAATATCTAGGATTAACGTCATTGGTTTTATCTCTTAGTCTGCAAATCTGATATCCGGTACTAATGTATTAATCGAGGAAAGTCGAGAAAATCGCGGCCGGGGATAATTTCCGACAAACGAGGCATTTTTTTTTCCTCCAGTCTAACAACAAAATGGCAATTGCTGTCTGAAATGTAAGTTTTGCAGATTGTCTATATAAAGACAGCAGGTAAAGGAATAGACAAATAGATTTAATATTTAACATTGAATTATTGGTTACATTGACAACGATTTTAAAATTTATTTGTATGGCCTAAAGAAATATTCACACTGCGAATCAGTATTTTTAGATTATATTTTATTATAGAGGTAGAAAATTTTCAATTTTAGAAATATAAATGTCGCCTTCTGGATAAAATAAAAGTGTTACACTTGGCTTATTGCGCAGGATTGGGAATATCTGTCTGATTTATAAATCAATTAATTCCAATGACATTTCCAAAAAATGAAATATAGAGTACTCAACAGATAATTAAAGTTAAATATATATGAAACTCACTTAAATTTGATTATGGGGGTAATAAATAGAATATCATATAGAAAAAAGACAGATCAAATACTTATATCAAAGGCCCAAGGATATTGTAACAGGAAAGGAGAAAATGTATGGCTGGACAGGGAATCTATGCCGCGTGCATCACTGGTCAGGTGCTGTAACCACTATCCAAGCTGTTATCCACGGCTAACTATTACACTCGACCCTCCCTGAATTATCACATTCACATTGGGGAAGAATATACATTTTACCCAAAAAGACAATTACCCAAGTTATTTTTGCCCCTTGGCAGAACTTTTCACGTGCAAGTCCATGGAGGGAAGGACTTCAGCACCAAATTATGTAATAGGAAAGAAGAAATTGTTTGACTAGACTGGGAATCGAACCTGGGACCCCTACATCACTAATCACTCGGATGTTCTAACCACTGAGCTACAGCTGATATCCAAGGCCCAAACCATTTTCTTTGTTGAGCTCGAGTATTTAATACAGGTTCCTTCATGACATATTGTTTTTATTACTTGTATGAACTATGTTTTATACATTTACATGTGGATGAATATATTTTTCTCTTTATTGAGATCAAATCAATTTGGTACTATGGAAATGCAATGGATGATATGCAAAACTGAACATTCTTGTAAGCATCCCCCCCCCCCCCCCAGTGATTTAATGATATTTTACATGTTGCTTAGAAACACATATGTAAGTAATATGTACACAGTTATCATCAATGTTTGTCATTGTATGGAATGTGACATTTGATGACATTTGTCATCTGCTATTGAAACAGACTGTAAATGAAACCTAGAAATGTATTCTAAATAATGCATGTTATGAACTTATGACACTTACAGTTACTAAAAGCTTTAATCTCCTCCTTGTTTCTGATTTTCTAAGCTCCAATAATACTTTGGACCCCTGGTCTACCTCATTGTCTTTGTTTATAGACACCTCATCTTGTCATGTTTATCACCATGGGCTACCTCATTATTGTCTTCGTTTGTTAATAGACACCTCGTCTTGTCATGTTTATCACAATGGGCTACCTTCTTGTCTTTGTTTGTTGATAGACACCTCATCTTGTCATGTTTATCACTGTGGGCTACCTCATTCTTGCTGCCTATCAATGGTACAGAGACAGACTACGTCACTCAATGATCCACCGAAGTATTTCAGCCTCTCTTCGAGTTGGAAGTGTTGTGGTTCAAAGAGTAAGCACGTCAAATCAAAGTAAGTTGTTAAACATTTTGTGGCATTTATAGATTTATTTTTTAGCAAAGAAGTATAGAAGCTGACCAAATTTGTGGGTTACAAATGTACATGCACTGTACAAGATTGTTGAACTTCGTTATTTAACAGGCAATATGAAGCTGTCACTTAGCTGTTCCAAGCTTGTGGAAAAGCTGGATAATTTGGTCGTCACTGAAGTGTATAATGATGATGATATCTCTGTCTCACAAACCGTACCTAAGGTAAGTTAACTGTTAGAATGGCACCAAGACTATAAAACCAGAACAGACTTAAGTCAAAGTTAAGATTTTAACCAGAACAGACTTAAGTCAAAGTTAAATATTTTAACCAGAACAGACTTAAGTCAAAGTTAAGATTTTAACCAGAACAGAGTTAAGTCAAAGTTAAGATTTTAATCAGAACAGACTTAAGTCAAAGTTAAGATTTTAATCAGAACAGACTTAAGTCAAAGTTAAGATTTTAACCAGAACAGGCTTAAGTCAAAGTTAAGATTTTAATCAGAACAGACTTAAGTCAAAGTTAAGATTTTAACGAGAACAGGCTTAAGTAAAAGTTAAGATTTTAATCAGAACAGACTTAAGGCACAAAGTTAAGATTTTAACCAGAACAGACTTAAGTCAAAGTTAGGATTTTAACCAGAACAGACTTAAGTCAAAGTTAAGATTCTAATCAGAACAGACTTAAGGCAAAGTTAAGATTTTAACCAGTACAGACTTAAGTCAAAGTTAGGATTTTAATCAGAACAGAATTAAGTCAAAGTTAAGATTTTGAATATCTTCTTTTTTATTTAACAAGCATGTTTAAAGTTGCAAGTTTGTGTAATATTCAACCACAAACATATGATCAAAGTCTTGTTCTATTTTCAAAAGTTGTGGCCTTGAGACCAAGTTGATGTACCATGTATTACAGTATCTTATAAACAGATAATGTAATACTAGTAACTTATAATTGATAAATGTTTCAGACTTATCATATTGTTATTTTGTTTTAACTTAATAGTTCTTCCAAAGATATTTAAAGATTTGCATAATAGGCAAGCATTGCTGTTTAAAAAAAATGCACAATATATGAATCTATAATAAAAATTTAGCCTTTCTTACCTAAAAAGGGCAGAAATCAAAGCATACTGTACAGTTTACATGTTTTGTAGAATTTTTTCATGACTTGTGCACATCAAGTTTTGGAATATTCCCCAATTATGCTCTGGCATCTTTGAATTGCATACACTTTGGTCAAGGAAGATTTAGTATGAAGTACAAATTAAAGTACAAGGGAGAGAGAACATGATTTGTGCCCAGGCCAAGTGTTAAAACACAGCTGATATACTGTCATATTAGATCTTTTTCCATTCTGAAAATGTCATCAGTTTGTACACTCCTGTTCATTAACATCACTTAAAATTATTAAATTTTAGGTTCATGTAAACTTGGAGAAATGGACAGCATACTGTCGAGATATCAGTCACACTCAGTTGACCGCAAGAGATAAGGAGGTCACAGTTCTCCTGGAGTCTATCCGTCCCGCTGATCTTGAGACTTTTGCAGAGGAACAAGTGCACATGTCCTCAAAAAAGTCATTCCATGTAAGCTGATTTTCACTTACTGCTATGCTATCTGTATTATATGTGTAGATGATCAGGGTTGTATTCATGATGAATTGATGTGGCGGAACTGGATAAAGTCAGATAAGAAACTGCAAATCTGGAAGTAAAAGATGCAGACATATAGTGTACATTAAAAATTTATTTACCCCTTTATAAATTGTGATGCCATAATAAGGCTACTAGACTTGTCCATACCATATTTTGACATTTTTCGCTCATAGAGATTGCTTTGTAAAAGAGTATTTGTAGATAAGATTGCATGTTATTGGGCTGCAAGAATTTGCAAGGTGCCCATTAGTAATAACTGTCTGTCCTCTGTCTGTTAATCTGTATGTCCACAAATAATCTGTTTTTTTTCCCCTAATATTTTTTTTAAATATTGTCCTATTTTGTTCAAAGAAGATGGGCTTATATGGCATGTAATCTGCAGGAACATGTATATGAATCATTTATCATTATTATGAAGCAGACAATTTGGACAGCTGTCCACAGCTGGGCAGATTTTCCAAAAGCAACACAGATAGGAAAATGTTACATTACATTGTTATTCCTTGTAAAAAGATGTAATAATTAAACCTGCTGATCCAGGGACTTCACTTGGTTTCTGGAGAGGGGTGTGTAGGGATGGGTGGGTGTCCCCTCCCTGAAGCAAGTTTTTTTTTAATATAATAAGTACCATTTTGGGTGATTCCTGTGCATTCAGAAAATCATTTTCACACATAAAATTGATTGATTTTTATGGTTTTACATCTATGCAAAATTATTTCACTCATTTGAGGCTTTTACTTGGCACTCAGGTCATTTTTTAAGGGGGGGGGGGGTTATGTACAACCCAAGCATCCCCCCTTTGGTGATGGCCTTGCTATGCTACATGTATCAGTTACAAGAACATTTTTAACACTTCTGATGATTTGAAAAAAAAAACAGTTATCAGATAATAGGATATAGTTAAATGTAAATGTATTAAAATTTTAGTGGGTTGAAAGAATTGCTTTTGATCTCGGTGCAGCAGAATTAAAGTTTAATTTTATTTTGAAATTCCGTAAATAATTCAAACTGGCAAAGGACTAGACTCTGGGGCATTGACCCAAAACTTATTGATTCCCCATTATCAAGGACAGGCAACTCATATCACTATGCTATCATGATTAGATACGGAAAATGGGTTTTTAAATGACTATGAAGCAATGCATTTACACACAGTGACTTTTTTTGGAAAAAAGTTAATTTTTCATGGTCTCTGGGTCTTCTCTGCATTTTTCCTATATCCCAAAAACCCAATTCATCAATAGAATGGTAAAATATCATGTGTCGCATCAGTGAAATTTTCTCTTTTCAACTGTGTCCAGATTCCCGCCGAATCTAAATTAAAAGCGCTGTCATTCATTGGTATGTTGGTTGATTGGGTGGGAAGACACATTCTGATACTTCAGTTGATTCTGTGTGTCATTCGGTTGGGAGCTGGGGAAACGAGGAGGATTCCTAACGACATGCAAGTCTGAATTAGCAAAGAGAGATAACTGCTGAAAATGTTCCTTTTGTAAACTAAGTAGATATAAAGTGATGACAACTGCAGTAAGTCCTCTGGGTTTAATTTATCTTGCTTACTGCAAGAAATCTTAAAAACCAAATCCCTGTCTGCAAGGGATGTTTGTTTTGTGTCTAGCCAAGGTGATGTTTGCTTTCACGAAAATCAATCTCCTTTATAATTATCAAGTTAACATATTCTGATCCCTTTCACTGCATCTTTAGATGTACATCTCCTCTTTGATGCCCTTGCTGACTGGTCAGTTTTCTAGTATATGGTGCTGTGATTCTTTGATTTTAATTTTTTTTATTTATAGATATTGGATCATGGTCATCCGCTGGCTTGGAATACAGGTCCACCCTTTGGGATTGTGATGCAGTGTTCAGAGCCTGACTTCTTAGCTCTCTGTTTATCATTCATGGATAATTGTATTATAATGGAAGAAGATCTACAAGTGAATAAAATTATCAGTAAGTCTTGAAGTTAATAAGTAGTCAAAATTTATAAAATTCTGATATCAAAGTTTGTCTTAATTATAATATTTTGAATTTTGATGCAAAGAAAATGAGAGTCTGGTATTTTAACAATGTGATTAAAAATTCAGAACATGGAAAAAATTGAAATTCATTAAATGTATATTTCTGTACAGTATTATATATACCATATGAAAAAAAAATCGTTATGTAAGGAATTAATTGAGTGGGAGATGTTAACTTGATCAGTGTAAAAGACAAAGTGAGCAGTAAAGCTAGAGTTATCTTTCTTTCCCTGTTTAATTTTAGGTGTTCAAACATCAGGGAAGGCAGCAAGCTTGATTAACCTTGACCTTAGAGAGATTCAGACCATGGAGGACACAAGTAGCCAGTGGTCAAATGAGTCCTTGGCCGACACTGCAAGTCTGGCCAATCATGATGTTCTAGAAAGCTCCAGCCAAGATTGGGAGGGGGTGGAGGCTGAAAACGGGATAGACATGGACAACTCAAACATAGAGGATATGGACATAGTGATGACAGAAAGTGGGGCAGGGGAGGCCATGTTCGACCCCGATAATCTCAGTGTCATTCCACCCACAGCATTGAAGTCTTCTAAACCTCCTAACATCGTGGTGTATTGTGGAAAGAAAGATGCCAGTAGAAAGTTTCAGAATCTGAAGCAAGTCTTGGAGCAATGTGTGCATAATGACTGTTATGTTATTTATCATCTGAAGCACGAAGATGTTCACACGGTGCCTTGGGCCGAAAACACCGCTCTGCTGGTACTGACAGAGGAGAACTTGTATGACCAGAATGATGACATCATTTGTCGCTATTTTGAAAGAGGCGGCAGGTTGATCAGTTTCGGAAGTAACGTAGATGCAAATTTTGTGCCTAGAAGAGAACTCCACAAGGGAACTGGAATTAGAAATGTGAGCTATGGAAAAATTCAAAATGTGCCTTTGTTGTGTGGGCGGTACTCGTACATGATTGACACGACTCGAACGGACATAGCTGTGAAAGGATTGGCTACTGATGACAAAGAGCAGACTTTAGCAGTGGAAGTCACTCAGAATGTCCCAGAACAAATTCCTGGCAAAGCTATACTGTCTCAGGTAATACCATAACACTATGCAGTGTTTTTGGTGACCCCAAATCACAGCCAACAGACTGAGGCAGTTTCTCTCTTAGGAAATGTGGTCTTTTTTTCTAAAAATTAACTTTTACTTGCCCACTAATTTTAAGATTTCAGTGTAAAATTCTTCTAAAATGCTTAAAAAGCCCCTTTTAAATTATGGGAGAAAAACACCTTTGCAGAAAAAATCTAAGCAAGCAGAGATTTTAATGAGATATTGATTCATGTGGTGAATTGACATGTAGAGTCTATACCTTTTAATATACTTTACTGCCTGATAAAGCAACTGGGAAAAATGGGATAATCCATTGCCTTTATTCCAAAGGCTAAAGTAATTCGAGATTATTCTGTGTTACTGTTATATCTATTGGAGAATTATATCTCCGAGGTGCAAAAATAATGTGAGAAGCTTATGGATATACACCTACACTAAGTTTTGATAACTCATGGTAGAATTCTCATGAACACAATATTGAAATTAAAATTAATATTCCTAAAGTAATTCGAGATTATTCTGTGTTACTGTTATATCTATTGGAGAATTATTTGATATATCTCCAAGGTGCAAAAATAGTGTGAGAAGCTTATGGATATACACCTACACTAAGTTTTGATAACTCATGGTAGAATTCTCATAGACACAATATTAATTGGAATTAAAATTAATACCCGGTATGAAAGATAGGAAGGTGTGAATGATAAAGTCTAAAAATATTGATAAGAAGAAAAAAAAACTCCACAAAAATATAGCTTTTATCTTGTTTATTGTGCATGTATTTCAGAATTTTAAAATAAGTAAATTAAATAACATATTCTCTTTTTAGATTGATCTTTTGAAAATGTTAAAGGACACATTAACAAGAGAAATTATCTGACATGACAAATATAGAAAAAGTGTTTTCTTTCTTTATACAAATTTAGAGTATCATATGCCAAGTTGTGACTTTTTTCTACTTTGTTTAGTAACTGATATATGGCTATGTTTCCAGTGACAAATTATGACCCTAAAGCCCAGTACCCCCCCCCCCCCCCCCCTATTTTCTCTAGGGAAATTTTCAGTTTGAAACAAGTAGACTTGCGAAAAGTTTGAAAAAAATCTATGAAAGATATTGAGAAAACAAGTTGATTTTAAATATTTGATAGTTATTACAGTTATTAAAAAATAATTGATGGATGTAAAATACAATAATTACATTATTACATGTGTTTCAATTGATCAATTCTCAATTTATTATGAATCAAGCATTTTATCAGTAAAAAACAATGTGTTCAATGTTTATCATCAGTTGTCATGAAAATGTTGCTTATTAAGTTGGGTTTTTTTTTTTTTGCATAAAATTCCATGTACTTATTAGGGCCAAACAATTAGGCTTATACTTCTTTCTTTCTTAATCTTTAATGGAAACATGAAAGTAAATCAGTGATTAAAAACTTTTCAACATGTTAAAAAAATTTGGGCTATCTTAATTCCCAAAATGATGATTGAAAATGAAAAATCTTTCAAGTTTGATCAGAGTCTCACTCTATATGTGGAAGGACTGAATAAGAAAAAAAACCAATCTGATTTTCAAAAACACCATTATTTCATTTAAAAAAGCATATTTTCTCGAAACCAGATTAATTAACTCTTAATTTTTTAATAACTGATCTAAATACTTTTGAATATTAGGAGTGCTTGGCAAATGTGGTTTTGGATAAAATTATTTTTTCTTGATTTCGAAATGCTCTCATTTCTCAGAAAAAATTTAGGAAATATAGAAAAATTTTGATTATCAATCATGCTTGAACATAATTATTCTATCCTTGAACTTTTCAATAATTGACATTTATTTAATATCTAAAACCACAAAGAACAATAAATTTATCTGTTCCTTCTGATTTTTTTTTCACATTTTACATTTATAAGGACTGCCTTCACAGCCCATGTTTAATTCATACAATCTTTTTTTTTTTTTATTAAAATGTAAAAAGAAATTTTAACTGAGGGGCAAAAGTTTGCAGTTGTGCCATTGAAGAGCAAAGCATATATTTTCACAAAAATATATTTTAAAATGAAGAAAGTTTCTATCTTGGGCAGCAAAAAGGATATTTATGGTTTGGTTGCTGTCATATATTGTACATGTTGTAATATGAATTCATGGATCATGCAAGTTGAAAACAAGATATTTTTGTTAGACACTGATGCCCCCTTAGGGCAGGTCATGTCGAAGGTTAAAGTTTCTCAAATGCAAGTCATATTAAAAGGTGAAGGTCAAGAGGGCAAAAAATAGTACCCAAAGAAAGGTCTTATCACAAGGAATACACCTGTGAAATATGAAAGTCCTAGCACCATCCATTCAAATGATATTTCCAAGAAGAAGGTTTTTCAAAAGTAGGGTCAAACTTTAAGGTCAAGGAAAAGGGTCAAAAATGGTGTTAAAGAGAAGGTTTTGTCACAATGAATACACCTGTGAAATATAAAAGCCCTAGCACCGACCATTTAAAACTTATGGCCAAGGTTAAGTTTTTTTCAAAAGTAGGTCAAACTCGAAGGTTTAGGTCAAAAATATTTGTACCCAAGGAAAGGTTTTGTGAAGTGTGAATGCCCTAGCACCAAGTATTCAAAAGTTATGGCCAAGGTTGAAGTTTGGTAAAATTTTGCAAAAGTTGGTCAAACTCCAAGGTCAAGACATCAAATATATTAGTACCCAAAGAAGGAATACACATGTGAAATATCAAAGCCATATCTCCAACCAATCAAAAGTTATGGGCAAGGTTAAAGTTTCTTCAGATTAACAGACAAACAGATGGACAGAGCAAAAACTATATGCCCCCGAATCTTCAATTACAGGGGCATAAAAAAGATAATAATGTTAAATATAAAACAAAACTTTTAAGAACAGAATTCAAGACAAAATGGAAATCAAACTTTAAAAATAAAACTGATACAATTTTAAGTGCACAAAGTCATACCTTGGTAAAACAGACAATTTAACAAATTGATATTCAAGCATTATCACCAAGTACATGTATTGTCCAAAAGGAACTACTTAATAGGGTCTAAAGACTTTCCAAAATATAAAGCAAATATGTCAGAAACTTTCTTTGTTGAAATAATAATTTGTCATATTACTTAAGCTTGCTACTTACTATAAGTCTTTGTTAGCTCAGGCAAGCTTTGTAGCCTATGGGCCACTAATTTAATTATGGTATATGAAGTGCTTTGATGATTGTCACAAGGAGCTATTCAATCATTTGATTATATCTATTGCCTGCAGGTCATATGAAAGGACCCATTACGAATTGAAAATTTATTCTTTTTTCTCAAAATATCAAGGTCTACATTCCTAAATGACAAGCACATTGAATTTTTCAGTGCTATTTATTAAAATCTTAAATTTTGAGACTTAAATGATATTTAAAGGTGTGAAAAGAGGATAATCCTACAATTTATCTGTCTTTATGGTGAAACATAATATGACATGTATTAAGTCGTCAATACTTCCAAATTTTGCAATTTTCTCCACTGAAAATTCTCAATTGAAAGGATATTGGACTGTATATACCAAAAAAGGGTCAATTAACTCCAATAAGCATTTCAAATTTTTGTAATATTTTCTTTTGTACATATGAGTCTCTTGCAGTTCAACATATGAAGAGATAAATAATTTACATAAACCAGAATTTATTTATACCCTATATATATGCATGGTATGACAAAGAACAAGGTAGGGTTTCAATACAAATCTTGCCCTGTGTTTTTCTTAAAAATGAAAGTAATGTAAAAAAAAAAATTAAAACTCATGCTTTCTGAATCATTGAAATTCCATGCAGAAAGGTCATACAAATCTTTTTCTCATATGACCTTCTAAATGCTAATTGTGATGTCATAAACTTGTGCATTTTCCCGTATTTTCTTGAAAAGTTGCAGAAAACACCAATTTTCAATGGAATTTTCTTTGAGATAATATTGTCCACAGGCATCACCCACAAAGATTTTGAGATATGTGATTTTTCAAATAAAATTACACAACGTATCCGAAAATTAAAGTGGGCGACGGCTGTGGACACTATTTTCTCAAGGAAAATAACCCTTGAAATGGGACATTTTGAGGCTTTTTCTGTTTAAAATAAAGAAATGCATCAAATTAATGACGTCATATATCCAGAATGGTACTCCTTCAAGCCATATTCTTTCCTGATTTATCACAGTCATATACTCAACTAATATTTAAGCCAGTTTCAAAACTTTTTGAAGATATAATTCTGTTTAGGGCACAATAAAGCTAAAACCGTACCTTCTTCTTTGACAAGTAAAATTGGAACTGTAAATATAAAGATGAAAGGGTTTTTTTTCTGGATTTTGTTGTGATATATACTGAAGGTTCTTTATGCTAATGTTATTACTAGCAACTTGATTCAAAGAGTCTAATGCATGATTTCTTAGCATTGGCATTGTAGAACACATGATACCTGTCTGTGTTATGTAATTCTGATGAACATTTAAGAAATTTATACCAAATTGACAATTATATCTTCAGCTCAAACTGGTTAAGGATAGATAATTATGATAATACAAATAACATTTTTTAAAAAATTATTTAAAAAAAAAAAAGTTTGTCATGTTCATTATATGTAAAATTAATGAGTTTAGCCAAATAGATTTTAATTTTTAATCAAAATTATATATTAATTATCAATAATCTCCAATAAATTTATAAAAAGTTGCATATATTTAAAAGGGTGATGCCAAAACTGTAGAATTTTGAACATCATAGAAAGCCTACAATTTCTTAATATTTTAGAAATTTGATATTTGCATCATTAACAACCAAAATAGATGAAAAAATGTGTACATATTCATGCATCTGGTTTTTTTTTTTTTTTTTTTTTTTTTTTTTTTTTTTTTTTTTGTTGGGGGGGGGGGGGGGGGGAGTGGGTGTTGTTTTAAAGTTATACAGATTGAGAGAATAAAATTGTATACAATTTACATTAGGGATGGCACAAACACGATGTGGAAGTTTAATACCTCCAGATAATACGCAAAACATGTATTAACTATAATTCTAAATCTTTGAATAGGGGAATTGGAGTTTATCAGTGCTAGAAGCTAGTACATTAATTTGTGAGAGTCATATTGAATTACCAACGTACAATTGTCGGACCTACTACTTGCTTTTCGAGGGATTGTAACAAGAGTCATGATTCTTCTGTAGGTGTTGCTCGATCAGGATCCGACAGATGTAGCCCTGACACAGGACTCGTTTAACCAGTTGAAAAAGTCAAATCCTGCACGGTTTGAAATTCTAACCCTCATGTTAACAGGAATGGGAATCAATTGTGAACATGTGACCCAGCCTGACCTTTCACCTTGTTTTCTACTGGCTAATGACCAAGTAAGTAGAACAAAAGTGCAATAGACATTACTATGTATTAAATCATGAACTTGTCTTCAACTTCAGATTAATTATGTAACATGTGTTTTCCAGAATAAAATCTGTTTGAAGTTGAAAGCCCGGTTACTGTGTCAATTTTTCAAGGCAGTTGAAGGTTCTCTGTTTCTCTTTTTTGACAGATATTGTGTTTTTTCCCACTTTCAGTGGGTGTTACAGTCAGGTTATTAATTTAAATGAAAATTTGATTGAAATGTGATCTTTCAATTTTTTGGATGTGCTTCTTTCATGTTTTTTCCCCCAAATGTCAGCTTTGAATTAAATTATGAATTTATTTAAGAATTGAGATTTAATTAAGTCAAGTACTTATAGACTATTTGTAACTTTGAAAAATAAGCCCCCCCCCCCCCCCCCCCCCCGGCCCAAAAAAAAGTAGAGAAGTGGTAAAAAGCTAATCTGCGTGAGTATTCAATGCAAAATAAAATCAACCTCTACCTTTATATGATGCAGAAACATAAATATTTTAAAAAACAGATAAGATTAAGGATATGTTTCTCAAAAAAAGTTACAATTATAATAATTCTCACTAAACATTCATGAACAAAGCTCACAAAACTGATTTTACACACACTTCACTCTTAATCATGTTAATAGAATGGTAAGGCTGGTTGTGTTCTAACTGCACTGTTTGTGGAATCATTTTAATTTGTCGGGATCAATGCAAACCAAAATTTTACTGGTTTCCATTTAACACAAGATAACAAGGAATCCCTGTTAATTTTTTATGATGTGTTTTTTATATATCTATATTTTAAGCATACTGGATTTATTGTAAGATGGGATATTTTCAATTAATTTAACTTTGCAGTGATAGAACAGCTGTGATGTTTCCCATTTAAAAATTGCATTTTTCTGTATCTTTGTGCAGTTTGATCAATGACTCCAATTTTTATGGGTTTAAATATGTGTGTTCACCTCCTTTTTTTCTCAATCTTGGTTTCAACTGTTTAAGATATTCTTATCAAAATTCACAATCCATTTGAAACTGAACTTTGTAAGAAGTGAGATTGAATTCTGTAAACCTAAATACTATGAAAAAAACTCTCAATTTTGTTCATTTCATTTCCTAGAACTTTTTTTGGGGGGGGGGGGGGGAGTTTTGTTGAATTTTTTCTATGATTTATACTTTTGTTTTCATTGCATTAAGGAAGGATTTCCAATATTGATGTTTTTTTCTGTTAATTGGCTAAATTAGAACATATTATAATCAGTTTTATAAAATAATATTTCTGATTTGTCTGATTAATTACACCTGTGAAATGCAAATAGATTTTTTCTCTTATTTTCTTATTAAAACATTCAAATATGTTTCCAAATAATGTTTGAAAATACAAATACCTTTGTAAATATGCATAAATTAACTTTTTTTTGAGAAAAGATGAATATATGATGACAGAATATTTAACTTTAATTCTGACTTTAGTTTTACTAGTCTTCTACAGTCATTCTAAAAAAAACATGATCATAATATTAGTTTCTTATTTGCTAACAAATTTAACACCATCTTTTAAATTTAAAACATTAGTTTTAATGCTAAAACTCATTGTACATAATTATATAGTTTCATAAATAGTTACATGTACACGTAAAATAAAACTGTTTGAGTTTTTACACAAAAAAAATATATACAGTAAAGCTTGTCTATTCCGGCCACCACTGGTTCCAAAGAAATTGGCCAGATTACACCTTTCCGGATAAGACAGCATTTTTAACAATTGAAAGTACTGCTTCGTGTCCACTAATTCAAGTACACGCTAATGCATGATTAAAATAAATATATTAAAAAGCTTTTTTCCAAATGCAATAATTCGTCATAACACTTAAATTAATCAGTTGATGAGGAAAATTGTGCTAAATTTTGAATGCACTAATTTATGTTTATTTACAATATTGTAATTAATGTTTGTAAAATCAATTCCACTACATACCTTATTGACGCTTATTGTAAAAATTTTATGCAAAATGGAGTCTCTTCCTTTTTATTAAAGTATATTGGTTATGCAGAGTTTATTGTCCCTTCTGTAGTACATTTTAGGTAATATCTTTACATTCAATAAAGTTATAAGCTCTAGGCTACACAAATAAAAGGTTCTCATACATATATTTCAATGTTCATGAAAAGGGGGGTTGTCATGGATGCTTACGCAACACATTGAGGTTGTTTTTCCACTTGTCGGAAAGGCCCGAGAAGAGAAAACATAAAAACTTCTCTAACTTTTTTGTTTTAGACACACAAACTATGCAGATTTGAAAGTGAATTGAAACTTACATAAAAATGGCAAGAGAACCTATCGTATGCTGTTGATTTTAGTTCTAAGTCAGCTGATTAAAATTACTTTTTTACTGAATTAACAAAATTAGTTGTCTCTTTTCAGAATTTTACTACGTACCATACAAGTAATCCAGGAATGACTTTGCTGTTTAAATTTAAAAAGGTTTTCTTGTTTTGGTAAAAAAAAAATCGTACTAGTTTTAATTCGACATCTTATAAAAAATGTTGATCATTATACCGTAAATCACCTTTTATTCATGAGAACTTTATTTTTGTGTAATAACACGAGACCTGTACTTGCGAAACTTTCATTTTCACATATAAAATTATTGTACTATTAAAGATTATATGGAGCAATAACCAAAATTCGTGAAAATTAAATTTTGTTTTGTTTATAAATACCAAACGATAATCTCGTGAAAATAAGGTGTCGCGAAAATTTAGTGATCTACAGTACTATATTATTTTTCCAGGAATTATAGTTTTTTTGGTAGAAATAAACTCCTATATCAATTGACTTCGGTATAGAATTTTAACTTAATACCATTTTTTGTGTCAGATTTCAATTATTATGTCTTACACTTCCATACTAAATACAGAAAACAAATAAGAGGTCAACTTCATGATATTTTATTAACGGTATTTCATATAATTCATAAATCCCCTATCACCCATTAACTTCTGTAAGGCTGAGTTCATTATGATCAGGACCAGATTTGTGAACGTTTATTTGTTTCCAAGTGCATTGATATATCACTTAGAGAGTTATAATTCCTATTGAAGTGACTATTTTCTTCAATTGAATTGATCCATATATATCGTAATGAGTGTTTTGCCCTTTACTGCAGGCAAATACATGTTCAATGAGGTTCCAATATCGTTTTTCAAAACAATTTTTTAAGAAATTGGTTGAGAACCCAATACATCCTGATTAAAAAGTTTTAAATTTAAGATAAAGTATCTTTGAATATAGTATTCTTTCATATCTTAGATCGTATGTAAATGCAATATCTTGCAGGTAAATAAAGTGCGCCTCTTGAACAAAATTGCACAGAGACTCAAAAATGGTTTACTGAAGTCTGCCAGTGTCAGCCTACAGTTTATTCCTAAACTGATGCCAGAGGTCAAGGTCACAACGACTCTACTTCCTGTTGTCACAGACAAAATGGAGGAGTTGAAGTACTTCAGTATTGATGAATACTGGGACAATTTGACAACAGCCAAATTAGGAAATGTTGTTCTCTATACAGATGTTGTCCCTTCAACCATGCCATTGCTAGATGGGTATTTATGTTTTTGTAACTCATTTTGCTAGAAATGGAAGATTCTGAGTTTGCTGGGGGTTTTTTTCTTTTGAATTTTCAAAGAACTTCCCTTCTGCAACATTTTAGTTGCAAATTTCAAATAGTTACCTCTTCAAATTTGTAAAAGAATTATATCATTATATAACTTTTTAAAAATTGTGAAATATGTTGGCAGTATGTTATTATTTCAGACTTCAAATCAAGATTTTTTTTTATTATTGGTCAAAATCACACTTGTATACTGTGGTATCTTTTCAGCCTTCAGTATTCTGAGCCTAAAACAGTTGGATTGGTAGCCATTGCTGGTAGACAAACTCAAGGACAAGGTAAACGTTAGATTCATTTAGTGTCAATCTCCTATTTTTTTGATATTTCACTATGTATCATCAACAACACATACATTAACTATTTTGGCTGACACTGGTTGAAAACATTGCATTGTTGTAGTCCATGTGTATGTATACATGTATGCATATTGACATTGAATAGTTCCTAAGTGAGCATGATGTTGGTTGACATATTAAACTTTACTATGTGAAGACCCAAATACTTAGTTCATCATGAAGTTCTTTGTTCTCTGTTGTCTACCCATCCATTCAACCATCTTTACTGGTGCCTTGCTATCTGTTTAGTATCTGTATACAAATATTATGCCTCCAACACATGTAGTCTGATATCAATAAACTTGATAAAAAATGTAAAATTCAAGCCAAAGCTGTAACGTATTAATTAAGTGACCTAAAAATGGTACTTATGTCAGGTTGTCTTAAACCAGGGAGTCATATTCTAGCAATTTTCAAAATGCATGCATAAAATACTAATTAGTAATACATGAACTTGTTTTCCTGTTCCCTATCCTTCATTATAGTTTTCAATCATTTCGACTTCTTCTCCAGAACCACATGGTCATTTTCACACAAAGTTTCAAAGGGATTCAAGTTAATTCAAATGAAGAACCATACCTTCTATCTAAGAGAGATCATTATAAGAATCTTGAAATTTTCTGGGATCTTTTACATAATCTCCTCTCAGGAATCACATGAATTTCAGGACCCCTGGCTCAGGGGATTTAGTGTTAGGATGGGGCTCTATTGATTATATAGTGAAAATGCATTGATTCATTCAAAACCTTCTCAGTATGCTCCTTGGTTATTTGCAGATAAACTAAGTACATGGTTATATATGGATGACTCTTCCATACTTGTGTTTTTTGGCCCCTGGGTCAGGGGTTGAGGTGTTTAAAGTGGGGCTCTATTGATATTTCAGTGAAAATGCAGTGAAAATGCATTAATTCATTGAAAATCTTCTTCTCTGCTTTTGGGTATTAATCAAACAATCTAATTAAGTGCTTAGTTATATTTCATGGTCCATGGATAAGGGGTTTAGGCATTAGCTAGGGCTTGGCTCTTAATGGCCATATAGTGAAAATGCATTATTTCTTTGAAAATCTATTCCCCTTGGAATTTAGCAAAATACTAAGTGCATGGGATGCCTATTCTAAAATTGTGAATTTTATGGCCCGTAGGTCAAGAGTTGAGGTGCTAGAGTGGGGCTATCCCTCTCTGCTCCTGGGTATTAAGCAAACAAATTAAGTGCATGGTTATGATGAGCAAGGGTGCCTAATCCAAAATTGTGAAATTCAAGGCCCCTGGGTTTTGGGCCTGGTGTCAGAGTAAGACTCTGTTGACTATATAGTGAAAAATTTATGCCTTAATTCTTTGAAATCTTCTCTGCTTCTAGGTATCTAGTAGGCAAACAGAGCACTAAGTTGTTATTTTACCAGATTTGTAAAATTCTTGGCCACTGGGATAAATGTTCTGGTGCTTGGCAGGGCTCTCTTTCTATACCACAATTACACTCGGTGTACTGAGATTGCAGGATTTATGTGTCACTTAACCAGTCATATACGTCATGATTGCCAGTTACGTACAGTTACAATGTAATCTCACACTTCTAGTTTACAGTTATTGTGTCAATTCCTCGTAAGAAATCAGCTCTTTGTAAATTTAACAGCAGATAGGTGTTATTATTCTACTGACACCTCTAGCACCACAAAAGTTTGTTACATATATCTGTGAAGTTCTTACATTTCTGTATATAAATACATGTATGTATATACAGAAATGTAAGAACTTCACAGATATATGTAACAAACTTTTGTGGTGCTAGAAGTGTCAGTATTATACTATATTTTATCTGTAGTGGGAGAAAATCACAGGTATATTTGGGAGGAATTTACAGGTTTAAGGGTAGCATGTCTGGCCATGTGAGGTTAAAGGTCAGTAAATGACCATCAGTGACAAGGATTAAGACAGTAGTTAAAGTTATCAGATTGTTAAAAGATGTAGATTACATGATTGTTTATCCATGGTAAATAATAGAAGGATGACTTGACATTTGTACAGGTTAAAATCTTATACCTGTCAACAAATGCTGGTGTGTGACTGTATATTTAGAACTAAGGCAGCAGATAAAAAGAGAGAAAAAATATTTAAATCACTTATTTTTTTTTTTAAGTGTTCATTTTTGTTGTTTTCATTTTCATGGTACATTGTATGAAAAGACCCACAAATTCATTTCCCCATGAAATGTTAAAATTTCATGCTACTGTAAGATATGTTTTTTCTTCTGAATCAACTTTGTTGTAAGCATGAATTCATTATTATTTTGTATTCAAAAAGGCTTTATAATAATAGAGATCTGGGCCTTCTAAATTTAAAACCTGTCATGACAAACTAACAATTTCCGGAATATTTTGATCAATTTTACTGAAATTTTTTTTAATGTGGCGGGGTAAACTTGAATGCAAGGGGGCTTGAGAACCAATCTTCATTTTTTATTTGGTGTGTTTGCTGTAACCATGTTTTGTTGTAAAATTTATTCAAATATTCTTTCTGTAGGAAGAGGAGGTAATTCCTGGCTGAGCCCTGAAGGTTGTGCAATGTTTTCTTTGCACATCAGGATTGAGGGAGAAAATCCATTAGGACGGGCAGTATCATACCTCCAGCACATCACGTCACTAGCTGTGGTAGAAAGTGTGCGAACCCTTCCTGGATATCAGGTATTCACAAGAAAAGATATCAAAGAGTGTGTGAACCCTTCCCAAATATCAGATATTCATATAACTGGCTGTGGTAAAGAGTGTACAAACCCTTCCCGGATATCAGATATTCACATACAAGCTATGGTAAAGAGTGTACAAGCCCTTCCATGATATCAGATATTCACATACAAGCTGTGGTAAAGAGTGAGCAAACCCCTCCATGTAATTTTCTACTCCTAGTTTGAACAGTTATTGCAATTCTGCAAAATTATGAAACTTTGGAATAAAGTACGTTTACAGTATTCATATGACTAACTATGGTAGAGAGTGTACGAAATTAAACTTCCTGGATATCAGAATTTCATATGATGAGCTGTAAAAGTGTTTGAGCCTTTCTAGATATCGGATATTCAGATGACTTCTTTGGTAGTGTGTGTGAAAATTGTCTGGATATCAGATCAATTTCAATAGCTGTCATAATGATACCACCTCAAATTCACCTGACTTCCTGACGTGTATACATTGTACATACAATCTTCAAATTCTGCCTAGAATATGATGACTACTTTTGGTAGTGTTTGGACCCGTTCTGGATGTATCAGTTATCAAAAGTAATAGCCATCATGAAAAGTATAGAGTTCGCATTTCATCCACTATCCACGTGCCTAGCTGTGATAGGAAGTCTGGAGAGGCAAATGTCAAAAAAACCTTATATTCACATTAAATGCCATTACAAGTTAACCTTGCTATTAATTTGAATATTACCAAGCAATCTATATATTGCACAGTCAATCTGTTTGTAATTGGTTTCTGAAAAAACTATTAATTTTTAGTCTCTAATGTACTTTATCAAAAAAAAAAAAGACATGTGAAAAGAATGTGTTTTGTAATAAACTTTTTAGCTCACCTTAACCAAAGGCTCAAATGACCTTTTCTGTTGTCTGTAAACTCTCCATGTTTTCAAACGTTGGGACAATCTCAATAAAAAGCTATATGCAGTATATGCATATTTTTGCCCCCCCCCCCCCCAATAAAAGTCAAAGGACAAGTGCACTTAAGCAATGCTTAATGGGCCCTTTTTCAGTGCCGTTTTACTTTAGAATATATGACCAAATCGTTCTCTTTTGGTAATAGTTAAACACAAGTGGATATTTCTAATTAAAAATTACACTAAAACGTCACCTAAATCAGCATGGATTTGAAACAAATGAAGAGTTTTAATGCCTATAGATACCCCAAATCCGGAAAAGTCGTATCGAACCTATTTTGAGTTTCGTTTATTTAAATCAATGGGAGGAGACATTTAAATTGACACTTGAACAATCTGATGGTGGATCATTGACGGGCACGTTTGCCGAATTCTTCTTGCGCTATTTTACCTGTAAAAAATCGAATGAAGTTTATAGATGCCTGTAGCCGTAGTGATCAAACTAAGAAATTTGCATGCTTGCATTTGAAAAAATGCAATAAGTATTAACATTAGTTCCTTTAAATTTTGAAAAGAAAAAATTGTATTTAGGTGGCCTTCAATACCGGTACCATTGTCTTGCATGAATGTTAAAAATGTTTGACACTTTTATGTATGATGACATTTTAACGACACTAAACACTCCTAACCCTCCCGTGTTCCTAAAATCAAATACATACAATATCTCTAAGCGGAACGACTTTGATATAATGGTATAAAACGTGGCTATGTTTTACAGTGAGGACATTTGTGGAATGTTTACCTGGGTAGAACTCATGTGACTACCGGTATTTTAAATAATTTATTCCACAGGTGGGTTCAACACAGGTCATACAGGTAAATAGCTCTCGCTTGCTATAGGAAAAACGTTGAACTTTACATACATTTTTAATATTTTAAGTACCAGCCTAATCTTGCACAAATTTCCTACTTTCACACAAGTTTTATAAATGTATAATGCGTTTTTTGTCATTCGCACAAGTTTGTACAACATTAGGCTGACAGAAAACAAAAGCTTTGAAATGAATGACCGTAGTCAATTTACTATAGAAAATCACGAATGTCGACTGACCCCTACCACATTGTATGGCTTTTCTCTTTGTATATTCATGAATACCAGCGATAAAATTTGTTGATTCTTATGGTTTAGATATCAATTAATGATTTGAGATGACAAATTAAGCTTCATTTGATTCTTCATTTTTTCACATTTTACCGGGGCCCATAAGTGCACTCGTTCTTTAAAAAAATCTTGAAATGTGCTGAATTGTATATATTGTACGAAAAATCTGAAATAACAGAAAATATTTTAGTTTCGAAGTAGTTATTGGCAAATTTGTTTCTATCACGTCACAAACTATTTGGGTTTTGCGTTATTTTTCAGAAACAGGAGAAAATGGACAAAATTTGTTAAAATTTTAGCTTTATGGAGGGCAAAGCTGCTCCATTACAATATTCACATATTTCATTGATATTGAAATTTTACATTTATATCAAAACACTGACTTTGAGCAGATCTGCACTCGGTGACTTTTATTCAAAATATCGACGTAATATACACCTTTTTCTCTATTTATCATGAAAATTTTGAATTTACATCATTTCCTGATGTCATATCTAACAAATGGTGTCATGGCTGATGAAATCACTTAGGCCAAAGTTTTTTTTTCGTTTGGTTTACGATTCCGCCGACCCTAATTTTCACAAATCATGAAAATAAAAATAATGTCTTTTTCCGACATATTTTTCCGGATTTTTCTCAGCTGAACTGGTGGGTTTTAAATTTTAGAATGCATCTTAGTCAAATAAGCGCTTACAAATATATGAGACCTTTACAAACATTTAGGTGACCGTAAATAAACACATGTGCTAACCAAAAATGGCGGCTCTGTAAGGTAATTCCTCACTGAAAGCAATGACACACACTTAAAGAACTTTTTCTGCATGGAAAAGTGAATAAAATCTTGGATAAATGATCCCTTTCTCCAATTGCAATGTCTCAATTGGCTAAATTAATACCGTAATATTGGAGAGTGGTACCCAACCCTGATCGACCTAGCAGACACGGATACACCTATAGATAATAAGGATTTATCAGTGCCTTCTCAGGGGCCGAAGTTCGGCCCATTCCCAATTGAAAATGAGTTCAGTTTTTCCCAATTTGGCAGTATTTTTTCTCAATTGGTGAACAATGCTTTTATTTTTAATTATCTTGGAAAAACAATAGGTAAAATTGTCAGATTGTCTGTAATTTTAACTCATTTAGCAAAGCTACAGTCATAACACATGTTTAAAAACACTGTAAAAACATCGCCAACTTTTAATCCGAATTTCCTCTGTTTTTCTAAAAATGATGATACTGTGTAATTATATAGATTTATTAAGTTATTTCCACCTACTCATTTGATCTGCGAGTTAATGGTAAGGACTTTAGGCATTATTTCAGATAGAAAAATATATTTTCAATGCATTAATACATATTAAAAGAGGACTTTTAGAAAATGTGTACTTAGTATATTTTTTTGCAGGAGGTTTACAATCTCCAGAAACAGATACTATAATGATCTAAATTGAAATCTCATAATCACATGTACATGTACTACCCTAAGTTGTATAAATGCTTTATACTCATTGAAGTCCATTTTAATTTTATTAGTCTATTATTTATAATTGATTTTGTACGAATAAGATGGATCATATTTAATTGTCATTTGGTTGCCAAAATTAGAGTTCGTGCTGAAATGTTAAATGAATTACCCCTGAGTACATGATTTAAGCAACATTTTTAAAAAAAAATTGCAATTTCATCAAATAGCCGATATTTTTTCCCAATTCCCCCAGAATGGCGTTTCCCAAAATAGGCTGATAAATCCATGGATAATAGTTAGGCCAATTTAGTGTTGAGAGATACATCTTAATAGTTGAAGCAACGTTGACTGGTTTTTCACTGGATAAATTCAAATGTGCATAAAACATCTGTTAGTTTATAGAAGTAAATTCAATATACAAATCTTTGCAAATTTCATACTCAATTGAGATTAAAGTCCTTTGAATTACTAATTAGTAATAAATAATGAGCATTGCCTACTGTACAGGTACATAACAAACATTTAAAGAAGGACTTGATTGAGAAATTATTAGGCTTTTTTGCCGCAGGTTGAACATTAAATTTGATAGCTGCATGATCAAATTATTATAACCTTTATTTCAACGTCAATTACTTTTAATATTGTTAAACACTTCAATTGTATTTTTCTTCAATCTAAATTTAACTTGAATTTGGATCCTTGTTTTTAGTGTGTGGGGATACCAAGGTTTATAACACATCACATATCACTGAAGAGCACAAAATGTTGAACATCATGAACCAAGCACTGATTGACAAACAAAAATCAGAACTATATGTAAATGAAAATGACATTCAGTCTAAAGTTAGAAATGAATTAAAATTAAATAAAAAGAGTTATGTGATCTAGACAATAAAACTTAAAAGTACTATTGACGTGTATTATTTTTATTAAAATAAACATTGCTGTTATTTTATAATGAAATTGTTGAATCCAAAATTATTTTTATTTTAATTTTTCGACCACCCAATGCATTTTTTTGAGACAGAAAATCGTAAACTAAAAAAAATAAAAACTTTGGCCTTACCACTTTGAAGTCTGCAAATATCCCCCTGCCTTAGAACATAATTTTAGATTTCTCCTTTCAAGTTTGATTTTGGGGGCAAATATTGGTCTCTACCAAATATAGTCCTTTGCTCCAAATCATCCTTTGGAGAAGGGGTTTGTTTAAATGAAGGACATGCCCTCTTTCAAGGGAAGATACATGTAATTAAGAATTGATGAAAATTTAATGGCATCATTTAAAAATCTTCTCAAGAACATTCTGCAAATGAAGAATAGCAGGGCCAAACTGACTCAGGTGAGCATTGTGGCTCATGGACCTCTTGGTCTTTACTAGGATTATTTTCACAGCATATGCTACATTAAAACACACTTTACAAAGTGCCAAGGAAGGACAATTTTGCTACGTTATAAATGTTATTCGTTATATTTAATAAGTTCATGATATATTTTAAAGTCATAGGGAATAGAAATTACTTTGTTGTGTAAATTCTTTATAAGCATATTCGTTATAAGCATGTTTACTGCATGCATGAAGCTGAACCGGTGTACGTACATGTACCACAAACATGGTACCACAGAACTAATTCAAGTATGCACTGCATAAAATTTAATTTCATTGCACAAATTGTGAAATCTATGAATTAATGTTTCCATGACAAGTAAACTGATCAACTTACAAGAAATTTAACAAATATAGTGCATTTAAAATCAAGATAAATAAAGCAGAGGATTGCAAAGAAATTCCTAGATTAATAGTCTTTTTAGACAGTAGAATTAATGTAATTTGATTTTTTATTTATATGTTATAAAGTTTCTGCAGAGAGCTATTTCTCTCAGGTGTACAGATATTGACTGATCTTAAAAAGTACAAAATGATATTAATAAAAGTGCAGTGAAGAAATTAATAAATTAGAATAAAAGCAAATTTTAATGAAATTGTTAAAAAGGTTCAACAACAAGTGAAAATGATATATTAATTGCTCTCTGAGGCTGTACTTTAATAGGATCAGTATTCATTATATACATACAGCTGTCATTATACAGTCAAACCTTGCTATCTTGAACTCAACAGGACTGAGTATCCAAGGAATTGAGATAACAAAGTTAAGAGACATAAAGAAAAAGTCTTTGAAATGCCAAAAACTACATGTGTGTAGCTAAATATATAATGATTGGACATATGCTGTTAAGAAGTAAATGTTTACATGTTTAAAAAATACAGACAATAATCCTGGATATGTAAACCTGTAATTGACAACTTCACCGTACTTAGGTAATTCAAGCTACGTAGGTAAATATGATGTCAACAAAAATTTTGAACCCGATTGCACACAACTCAATTATAATTTACACTACATCTTGGAAAAGCAAAATACTGTATGTTATATTTTATTATTTCCTCGTTGAGTTTTATTTATGTGATTGGAATATGAGAAGATCTGACAATAGATGAATTATACATATATCAGGGCAACATTTGATCCCAATGCAAATTACGTCACTTCCATTTTGCACAGGATTACCTAACGCACCCACAAACACACACACACATTTGAATTACTATATCCTCTCAAACTCTGTTGCAAGGGGATGAAAAAGTGTTTCAAGTCCAGAGCAACTATCTCTAGCTAAAGCTACACTCTCATCAGAGACTTTTACCTCATTTTAGGACATTGACCTTCGTCTGAAATGGCCTAACGACATTTACTACAGTGATAAGATGAAGCTAGGAGGAGTGGTGGTCAGATCGTCCTATGTTAATGGAGTATGTGATGCCATTATAGGTAAGTTACACTGTAGTTTACACTAAAAGTACAACCTCCTTATAAGGAAATGTGAGGGATGAACAATTTTGATGATAAACATAATTAATTAAATAAGTTAAGTTCATAGTATGTTTTTAACCTACAGGAAATGAAAATTGCTTTGCCGTTAGTGTGAATTCATTATAACTGCATGTAGCTATTTTAGTATTATTATTATATTATTCTAGCTATATTACCATGTTTTACTGTATACCAAAAGACAGCGGCTTGCAAATTTGGATCTTGGAATCAAAGGAGTTTTTAATTGAAATGAAATGGAAGTTTATATCATTTGTAAATTATCATTTCACAATTGGACTTTAAAATTTTATATCTTAAGGCAATTGTGCACAGATATGTTTAGATGTGTATGAGTCACATTTAGCAGTTTGAAGTTGATCTTATGGTCATGTATCAGCTTGGAGGAAAAGAGCTGATCAAAGCATTTGTCAGCTTTAGTAATTTAAGCCTTAACTTTAGGACCTTTTGTTGAAACCAGATACTAGTGATTTTATATTCATTTATATAACCCAGGTAAAAGCCATTTGAATCAGATTGGATTGAATCAGTGCTTATAAAAATTGTCAATGGCTGGATTAATACATATCTGTTCATGCTAAAAATGCTTACTAGGTCACCTGAGTCACTCGGGCGACCTATTGCTATCTTTTTTCGTCCGTTGTCGTCCGTCGTTCGTCAGTCGTAAACTTTTGAACATTTTCAGCTTCTTCTCTGGAACCAGCAAACCAATTTGAACCAATTATGGCAAAAGCCTCTATGGGTGAAGAGGAACAAAAATTGTGAAATTCGTGGCCCCTACCCCCCTGGGTATTATTGAAACAAATTGAATACATAGTTATGATAAGCAAGAGTGACTCTACCAAAATTGTGAAATTCATGACCCCAGGGTCAGGGGTTCTGGTGCTAGGGCGGGGCTATATAGATCATATAATGAAAGTGCATTATTTCTTTGAAAATCTTCTTCTCTACTCCTGGGTATTATTTAAACAAATTAAATAAATAATTATGATAAGCAAGGGTGACTCTACCACAATTGTGAAATTCATGGCACCAGGGTCAGGGGTTCTGGTGCTAGGCCGGGGCTATATAGATCATATAATGAAAGTGCATTATTTCTTTGAAAATCTTCTTCTCTACTCCTGGGTATTATTTAAACAAATTAAATAAATAATTATGATAAGCAAGGGTGACTCTACCACAATTGTGAAATTCATGGCACCAGGGTCAGGGGTTCTGGTGCTAGGCCGGGGCTATATAGATCATATAATGAAAGTGCATTATTTCTTTGAAAATCTTCTTCTCTACTCCTGGGTATTATTGAAACAAATTAAATACATAGTTATGATAAGCAAGAGTGACTCTACCAAAATTGTGAAATTCATGACCCCAGGATCAGGGGTTCTGGTGCTAGGGCGGGGCTATATAGATCATATAATGAAAGTGCATTATTTCTTTGAAAATCTTCTTCTCTTCTCCTGGGTATTATTTAAACAAATACATGGTTCTGATCAGGGATGGGGTAATTAGGTCTTTCCACCTTTCTGTGGAAAGACCTCTTGAAATGCTTCTGTTTATTATTATTATTAGGTCTTTCCACCTTTCTGTGGAAAGACCTCTTGAAATGCTTATGTTTATTATTATTATTATTATTATTAGGTCTTTCCACCTTTCTGTGGAAAGACCTCTTGAAATGCTTATGTTTATTATTATTTTATTTCTCACCAGGACTTTTGAAACCGCAAAACTTATCAAAATAATTTATAGTTCATGATACTGGATATAAAAAGTTATTCTGAAAAACGACCCCCCATGTTTGAACTTTGACCTCTTATGCAGTTATTGCCCCTTTCACCGTAAAGCTTGTTATCGCTACTCCTTTGAAACCATAAACCGTAGAAGTACGGAACCTTCACCAATGTATTCGACTAATTGAGGGGACTCTTCAATCTTTTCATTGCGAAACTATTCGTTGACCCCTTCAATGAGTTATTGCCCCTGAAAGTTTTTGAAGTTTACAAATAATCAAAAAATTTCAAAACAATAAGTCGTAGAGACATGGAACCAACTGCATTAGATTCTTTGACCTTTGACCTTGAAATTTATATGAAGGTCAAAGGTCAAGGTCATTCCATATATGAAAAATATATTTCCTTCTATAGCTCTTTTGTTCTTAAAGATTTATTATCTATTGTTACATAATTAATGTGTACTCTTTAAGTTATTTACAATATTTCATTCTTGTCCCCTAAGTTTAACCCTTTTGAAAGTTATTGCCCCTTGTGCAAAAAACCTTGTTATCGCTACTCCTCTGAAACCGTAGACCGTAGAGACATCAAACCTTCAATAATGTCTTCAGGGTCTTTAGACACAACTTCAATCTATTCAGTGCGAAAGTATCCGATGACCCCTTATATGAGTTATAGCCCTTTAACGTCTTTGCGCTTACTATTAAACCTTATAACTTTAAAACTAAAAGTCGTAAAAGCATGGGATCAAGTGCAATGTGACCCTTGACCTTTGACCTTGAATATTTGTTCAAGGTCAAAGGTCAAGGTCATTTCAAAATTTTTAAATTTTCATTTTTTCTATCTTTTAAGCCATTTATGGATTCTTTTTCTATAAAAATTAACTTCAGAGAGTAAAATATGAAAAATATATGAAATTTAAAGAAGGTGGAAAGACCTCTAATTGTTCGAGAACAATTAGTCTACTAGTTATTATTCTTTTTCTTCTCGGACTTTTGAAACCGCAAGACTTATCAAAAAACTTTATAGTTCATGATACTGGATATTAAAAGTTATTCCGAAAAACGACCCAACATGTTTGACCTATGACCTCTTACGAAGTTATTGCCCCTTTCGCAAGAATAGCTTGTTATCGCTACTCCTTCGAAACCGTAAATCGTAGAGATACAGAACCTTCACCAATGTCTTTGACTACTTGAGAGGACTTTTCAATCTATTCATTGCGAAATGATTTGTCAACCCCTTCAATGAGTTATTGCCCCTGAAAGTTTTTGAAGTTTACAAATAATGAAAAATTTTCAAAACGATAAGTCGTAGAGACATGGAACCAACTGCATTAGATTCTTTGACCTCAGACCTTGAAATTTTTGCAAAGGTCAAAGGTCAAGGTCATTCAAAATTTGAGAAATTAAGCTCTTTTTATATCTCTTTTGTCTTTCATTATATACTAAATCTCTTTGCATCTTTAATATGTCCTCTTAAAATTATTTCAAAGATTTCATACTTGTCCCCTAAGATTTACCCTTTCAAAAGTTATTGCCCCTTTCACTGAAAACCTTGTTATCGCTACTACTCCGAAACCGTAAACCGCAGAGACACGAAACCTTCACTTATGTCCTCAGGGCCTTTAGACACAACTTCAATCTATTCAGTGCGAAAGGATCCGATGACCCCTTATATGAGTTATCGCCCTTTAACGTCTTTGCTCTTACTATTAAACCTTATAACTTTAAAACTAAAAGTCGTAGAAGCATGGGGTCAAGTGCAATGTGACCCTTGACTTATGAACTTAAATAATTGTTCAAGGTCAAAGGTCAAGGTCATTCAATTTTTTTTTTTTAAATTTCATTTTTTCCATTTCTCAAGCCATTTCTTGTTTATTTTGTATAAAAATAAAACAATAGAGAGTTAAATATGAAAAATATATGAAATTTAAAGAAGGTGGAAAGACCTCTAATTGTTCAAGAACAATTAGTCTACTAGTTATTATTATTATTATTATTTTTCCGCTTCCGCCTTTTGAACCGAAAGACTTATCAAAAAGTTTTATAGTTCATGATACTCGACATCAAAAGTTATTTCGAAAAACTACCCAACGAGTATGACCTATGACCCCTTTCAGAGTTCTTGCCCCTTGTACGAAAAACCTTGTTATCGCTACTCCTTCGAAACCGTAAACCGTAGAGGTACGAAACCTTCATCAATGTCTTCGACTTATTGAGGGGACTCTTCAATCCTTTCATTGCGAAAGTATTCGTCCACCCCTTTTATGAGTTATTGCCCCTGAAAGTTTTTGATGTTTACGAATAATTAAAAATTTTCAAAACGATAAGTCGTAGAGACATGGGACCAACTGCATAAGATTCATTGACCTTTGACCTTAAAATATATGCAAAGGTCAAAGGTCAAGGTCATTGAAAATATGAGAAATTAGGCTCTTTTTATATCTCTTTTGTCTTTCAATATATATTAAATATCTTTGCATCATTAATATGTCCTCTTAAAACTATTTCAAAGATTTCATACTAGTCCCCGGAAATTTACCCCTTTAAAAGTTATTGCCCCTTTTACTGAAAAACTTGTTATCGCTACTCCTCCGAAACCGTAAACGGTAGAGACACAAAACCTTCACTAATGTCTTCAGGGTCTTTAGACACAACTTCAATCTATTTAGTGCGAAAGTATCCGATGACCCCTTATATGAGTTATTGCCCTTTAACGTCTTTGCATTTGCTATTAAATCTTATAACTTTGAAACTAAAAGTCGTAGAAGTATGGGGTCTATTGCAATGTGACCCTTGACCTTTGACCTTGAATATTTTTTAAGGTCAAAGGTCAAGGTCATTTCAAATTTTTAAATTTTTTCATTTTTTCTATCTTTCAAGCCATTTATGGATTCTTTTTGTATAAAAATTTACTTTAGAGAGTAAAATATAAAAATTAAAGAAATTTAAAGAAGGTGGAAAGACCTCTAATTGTTCGAGAACAATTAGTCTCCTAGTTGTAATTAGTATTTGTAATTGAGCGTAATTAATTACATTTTTTAAAGTAATTGGAAATAATTTGTATTTGAGCCAGTCTTCAATTACAAGTAATTGAATGCATTTAAATACATTTCCAAAAATGTCATGTATTTTCAATTACTTTTCAATTACATTTCAATTACTTTTTTTTAAGTTATAAGTTTAAAAAGGTGTCTTTTCAAGATACACAGTTCAGTATACCTGCGTGGCATGGGCTTGTGTTTTTGCAACAATTAAATGTCTCAGAATGTTTAATTTGTTTATACAGCATGTCACACTGCCCAGGGCAATAGGTAGAGGTCTAATTTTGTCCAGGTGTGAACCCCTTTAATACCCAAGAACAAAAACACTGAATAAAAGTTCACTATATATAGTAAAAACTTTATTCAGAACCAAACATGAATTCAATAGTATTGGATGAATTTAATGTCCCAGAAAATGTTTCTGGAAATTTTAAAGTCAAAATCATTCCATGTTTCCTTGTCTTTCTTGGTTAGCCCAAAGTTATTTAGCTGTACCAGCGACTTCAGCACCCGTTGAAAGACTTTTCAGCATGGCTGGAAAACTGTTCAGACCAGAAACAGTACATAATGCTTTGTGTATCTCAATGCCGATTATATATGTATTTGTTCTCAAGATTTTTTAAAAATAAAACTTAAGTAATTGAAATGTATTTAATTACATTTGTAAAAGTAATTGAGAGTAATTAATTACATTTGAAAAAATCAATGTAATTGTAATTGCAAGTAATTGACAAAATTATCAATGTATTTGAAAGTAATTAATTACATTTCAAAGTAATTGACCCCAACCCTGGTTCTGATAAGCAAGGGTGCCTCTTCCAAAATTGTGAATTTCATGACCCCTTGATCAGAGGTTCTGATGTTAGGGCGGGGCTCTATTAATTATTTAGTGAAAATGCATTAATGCTTTAAAAATCTTCTCTGCACCTGGGAATATCAGAGGCAAAGATTAAAAGTTTTAATAAGGAAGGGTATTTTCACCAGATTTTTGAACATCAGAACATCAGAACCATTTGATCAAGTGTTCTGGTCAAGGCCAGAGCTCTATTAATTTGTATTCTACTGAGAGGAGTTATTCCCCTTTGCCATTTACTTGTGATAATTAATCACTGTAAATAATGTACTTGAAAGGTTAATAGAATAAGAGAATTATGCAAGAATTTTTATTGTATAATACAAAAAGTACTTTAATAGTTTTTATGATCAGGTAGACTTGTAAATAATAGATAAATAAAAATGAGACAAAAATAACTTGTCTTATTAAATGTTCATCAAAGACCAAGAGATGCCAATGTAAGAGATTTCAACAAGGAATTAAAAGAGTACAGAAGCACTGATAGTTTGATTATATACTGTCTGGTGAGAGTGGGGAACAGATTAGAACCTAATTTAACAACTGTTAATGTTTTGTTTGTTTGTCTGTTGTTTAACGTCCCTCTCGAGAATTTTTCACTCATATGGAGACGCCACCACTTGCCGATGGAGAGCTGCAAATTTTGTCCTATGCCCGGCACTCACGGCCACTGAGAAGTGAGGGATCTTTTTCGTGCCAGCACCTACTGCGACACGGGACCTCGGTTTATACGGTCTCATCCGAAGGACCGGTCTCCGCATCCCACAGTGGGATTCGAACTCGCAACGTAAGGATCAACTCCTTACTTCGCGACTCTAGAGCAGACGCTCTAACCACTGCGCCACGCGGGTGACAGAACTGTTAATGAATACTAGACTAATTATTTTGTTGATCCTGATCACCCTATTTTTCTTGCTTTTGGGCAACAAAGTTTCACCTTTCAGTTCATTTTATACTCTATGGATCCTCTAAATTGTTGTATTATACTCAGGTGACCGTTAAGGCCCTTGGGCCTCTTGTATATTGTACGGCTTTTTGTGGACTTTGTGGATGTAATTATTTGTGAAATAATTTTTATTGCTAAAAAATTATTCTACATGGCAATGCATAAAAGCTGATTATCAGTACACTAAATGCAGATACAATAAGTTTTTTTTGTTTTTGTTTTTGTTTTTGTTTTTTTTTTGAAAAGCTACAGAAAATTACCACACACACAAAAAGGGTATCAGAGATTAAAATGGGAATAGGCTTTCAGGAGAACAAGTTAAGACTTACAGATAATTTGTAGCAAAATGGTTTAAATAACAGGCTTGAGGCCATCTTAGATTAGGTCTATATTTTTCTTCTTGCTGAATTTTGTTTCTTTTATTGGTTGTTTTTTAATTGTTTACAAGTAAACTTATGGATATATAAAGATCTGTTCTTATGAAATATCTCTTCTTTTTTCTGTCCTTGAGCCTCAAAAAATTAAGCTAAAGAGGAACAATTTTTGTCTATTTCATGTCTGTCCACAGGATTTTACTTCCTCAATTGTTTTATTCATGTTTGAAAATCAAGACAGGTCAAGGTCATACATAAACTTCATGCAAGGTCATGCAGTTAGACTTTTCCAACATGAAATTTGCCACCTTTAGACTTTGTTTTTTTTACAATCACACAGATTATCTACTATAAACAGGATTTGCAATTGCAAAAAAAAAAAAAAATGTTCTCTTTTCAGGATGTGGTTTTAATGTCAGCAATACAAACCCTACAATTTGTATCAATGATGTGATCAAGTTATTTAACAAGGAACAGAGCACATCTCTTCCATTGTTGTCTAAAGAGAAATTAATGGCACGAACCATTAACATCATAGAGGACATCATTAATGAATTTCAGAAGAATGGACGTACAGAATTCTGCAAAAAGTATTATCAAAGATGGCTCCATGGGTAATTGATTATAATTTTTTTACCTTTCTTGTAATTTAAAGCTGGTCAAAATTGACTGCTTGAGAAGTAAAAGGAAAATTTTAGTATGGAACACTCCTCATAATCTACCATAGGCACCATATTAATAATTATTGCTCAAAACCATCATAGAATTCGAATTATTGAGTTAAAATAAATTTGCAGGCATCACATTGTAGAAAACATAATTTAAAAAAAAGAATTCAATACTACGTAATTATTTTCATCTCTGTACCTTACATTTTTATCTGAGCATAAGATTACCTCAAAGATGGTGGAAATTTCCAAATATTTCTCAACCATTACCAATATTCCTCATATTCATGAGAAACATGGAATCTCCCATGATGGGAAGTTTTTAACCATACCACGAGATATGATTCTCCCAAACTGTAAGATTGTGTAGAGAGACTGTTAGGTGAAGTAAATCAAATCATTCCCATTATTGGCTTTTATAAAACATTAAGCTTCAAGGCTTTGATAAGCATACCTTGAAGATGTGATGAACAGTTGTCTAACTAAAATGTAAGTTCAGCACGTACAGCATACATAAATTGTTGTTCTGACCTTATTTTACTGTGGATTGAAAGGTAAGAACATGGACAGAGAGACATATAAATAGGAAAACCTTAGTGTTAAGATTTAAAATCTATGAATTGTACACATAGTAGCTTATGAATGTTTAAGCAGCTTGTATCAAACATAAAGAATACCAGTCGCAGTAGCCTAGTGGTAGGGCGCTCGCTTCTTGATCAGGAGGTATTGGGTTCCATTCTCATTCCTTGTGCCTCGCAAACCTAAGAAATTAACATAGGCACTGACTGATCCCTGAGAAAGCACCCCTGGCACTACGCAGGTGAGTTAAGGCTAGGTATAGCATTTCTATGCGAAAAAACTAATTTAAATGTCTAAGGTCTATATCTATTATACAGAGAAAGTTAAAACTTATTGTATAATATATACTTGGTACCCAAGACATAAGATAGCCAGTACCCATTATGATGTCATATTATGATGTCATTGGAAATCAACAAAAAAGCTTCGGCGCAAGGGCATGCTCTATTTTATTTAACTGAAACAAGGTATATTCAGAAACAAAATATTCCAAAGATTGCTGGTATTGCTGCACAAATATCAACAGCTCAGTTGTTTAATTTCTATTTGTAAAGTTTTAAGTTGAATCAGGGTAAAAATGTACAGTCCGGTATAAGTTTCCTCAAATTCCGATCAAATGAGAAAATGCCTAGGATTTGTGCAGCAGTTTTATTAATCCATAGAATATTCTTCTCAGCATTATACAATTTTTATGCAAAAATAAATAGGGTAATCCCTTGCGCTGAAGCTGTTTTGTTGATGTGTTTTATTACCTCCAGTAGGTAAGATCAATGATGTCATAATATGACGTCATAATGTGTACTTGCTATAACATATCGAGGGTACTAAGTGTGCATAAGAAGATAATCAAAACTTTCTCTGAATAACAAATATACTTCTTATGCGTTTTTATTAGCTCATTTGCATAGAAACGCCTATACCTAGCCTTAACTCACATGCGAAGAAGTGAAAGTCACGGGTCTTTCAAATGAGATCTTAAAAACTGAGGTCCCATGTCACAGCAGGCATTGGGATGATGAAGAACCCTCACTGCTTAATGGCCCTGAATGTCGAGTATAGGTCTAAAGCCCTTCACCCATATGTGGTGATGAGTGAAAAATCTTGCAGGGGATGTAAGACAACAAATAAAGAAGAGATTCAGAGGAAATATCCAAGTAATTTGTTTTTACTGCATGGACAGAGTATTCTGAAAATTTAAGATACTCTATGATAAAGTGCATATTTTTTTCAGTAATGGATAATTAACTTTCAATAAACGTGGGATAATCTGTCAAATGCAAAACCCAAAAGGTGCTTGTAGATAAGTACATTTAATATTAGTTGCATAAGTTGTTATCTAAAAAAATGTGAAAAAAATGTGAATTGTTATCTGAAAAAAATGTGAATCAGATTTGTTCTTTAATATTCCAGTGTGAAGAGATGTAATATCAGTCACCTAAAACCAATAATATCATCTTATAAAACAAAATGCTTACAAAGCACAATGCATCTATGTTTTCTGACAATGAACTTTAAATTGCATAAAATCCCTTGTTTTAGCCCAAGATTTAATGCACACATTTTCAGCTACATGTATATCCAATAGTGCAAAGTTGAAACCTTGTTATTGTGAAAGTTTATATACATGTATGTCTGTGTAAAAGTTTGACCCTATTTTGTGCCCCAAGCCTCCCTGTATCCCCAGATCTGTTCACTGTTGATTTGAATGTATTTAAACTTTGTAATTGCATGTTGTTGCTTGATGACTTACATTGTATATGTGTATGTCATGAATTTCATGAAGGTCGACGTCAAGGTCACTGCATGTAGATAAGATTTCAAAATCTGGGCCATAACTCTGGAACCTTTGATAAGTGTGAAATCATAATTAAGTTTGTTGTTTATTTTAATTAAGTACTTAAGGTGTCTTGATCTTGATTCAAGGTTATAGCATAAAGGTCAATGTCTTCAGGTACTGAAATATTTAATTTTAGTCTTGACCATAACTTTGGAAGTTACTGAAATGCAAAGATTAGTTTATAGTGGCTGCTGTTCTAAATGTGTATCATCACCTTGTGTCAAGGTCAAATTTAAAAGATCATGGTTACTGAGCGGAGATTTGAAATAATGATACAAAACTTGTCAAATCAATGATTATGAATGGACAATTAGAATTTATATTAAATTCCTTACACATTGTTAACTATTGCATTAGATTTCATCAAGGTCAGATGAAAATGACCAGGATGATATTTAAAGAACTGGGTCATTTGCCCCCTCCCCCCCAGCCATCCCCTACCCATCCCCAAAAATATTCATTTCCTCTTATGATGAAATTTACACTTAACTGTTTTGCATTAAAATCTTTGATGCTTTTGTGTGATTTAACTATTCAGTGAAAAGGCACCACAGAATAAGCACCACTCTGTGGTGCCAAGTTAAGAAAAGATTAAGAAATCTACCATTTGTTGCCATATTATTGAATTCTATTTTGTTTTCTTGTAGTGGCCACAAAGTGCAGTTAGAGACAGAGGGGGACAAAGTCTTTACAGTTCAGGGGGTGGACGAGTATGGCTACCTTAAAGTGATGTCAAATGATGGGCAGGTCATCAGTGTGCAGCCAGACGGAAATAGTTATGACATGATGCGAAACTTGATTCATATGAAAACACACTAAACTAGTTCCCCACAAACTTATGGATGTTTATCTATATTCTTATCAGGATAGTTGGTTTTTTTTTTTGTGATATCAAATTTTAAAAACAGGGTTTCCCTCAGTGCTATTGACCCCTTGTCACATTCTCATCCTCATTAGCACTTTAATAATAATGAATTAGTTCAAGTGGTTCATCTCAAAAATAGCCAAAACAATATACATAGCTAAATAGTAAGATTTTAAAATATTGCTGGAAAAAAATACAAGGGAAATCATGTATATCATAACGTAATATGCATCATTTCTTAAGTTTTAAATTTTTTTTTTCTTTTTTTCTTTTTGTTTTCTATGAGTCAGTCGCAAATTGAAGAAAGCCAAAAAATGAATTCCACAATATTTACTAGTAAGAGCAATTCAAATGTAATCAGAAAAATTTTAGCACTCTATATTAAAATTAATTTTTCCCCCCTTTAAAACTCGGATTGAAAAAAAAATTCAAAATCTATGCATGTTATGGTGTGAATTTTTAAAAATGTTACATACTACATTTTGAAATAGAAAATCTAACCTTCCATCTTATTAATAAAGTACAGTGGCATGGCCATAGTTTCATTGCATTCTTCATTCATCATAAACAGTTATGCAATAGAATCTCCACCTTCCATATTCCACTTCGTGATTGTTTGTTATAGTGATACACAGAATAAAAGAATGTATTAAGTGTAGCAGGATTTCAGGATGTTTTGCAGCAATTTTGTCATTTCCAACATTTGCATTTGGTATTTATATCTTTATATACTCCCCTTTTTCATTATTTATAGTGTTTCACAGAATGTACATTTATATATGTGTAGAAGGAATTGAGAATGTTTTGCAGCAATCCGTGTCCAGTATTTGTTTTTGGGTGTGTATAAATACAGTACTGTTGTTCATATTAGTCACTCAGGTGACTTTTGTTATCTGTTTTTGTTTGTCCTGTTGGGTTATGCATCTGCTTGTCCAAGCAGAATTGCTTTGCTGGTTTCAAGTTAATTTCTCTAGAAGCATAATTTGGTTAAGGTGGATTTTAGTATATGTAAATAAAGTACCTTTCCAAAGAAACAATTGAAAAAAGAAGGGATGGAGTCATTTGAAAATCTTCTTCAAAACTACCTGGATAGAAAGAACCGTCTGGATAGAAATTAGGGTTTGTGTTGTATGATGCATTTATAAATGTGGTGTATAAATTGTTTGAGGATATAGAACAACATCAACCTTGTTAAGGTGTCTCCTACAAGTCGCTGCATGATATTCAGGTGACCTTTAAGGCCCATGGGCCTCTTGTTAACTGTTGTGCCATATTTGTGTTTTTGAAGTGCTATTGAAAACTTGCCTAGGAAGAATAAAGTATGCCAAAAAATGTGCTTATTGATTTTTTATACTGCATTAAATTCAGGAAAAACTTGATTAATGCTGAATTACCCGGTATAAATACTCAGAAATCAGGACAGTCCAAACCTCAATATCCATTAGAAAACTCGTACGTTTAGTCCATTACTGATCCATTGTTCGAATCTATGAATCTCTGTTCGATAATGTGACTTTTTATAAAATGGTGTATTCTTGAAGATGTAAACAAATAAAAAAACTAGTAGACTAATTGTTCTCGAACAATTAGAGGTCTTTCCACCTTCTTTAGATTTCATATATTCTTCACATTTAACTTTCTACTGCTTATTTTTATACAAAAGAAACCAGTAATGGCTTGAGAGATGGAAAAAATGAAAATTTTAAAATTTTGAAATGACCTTGACCTTTGACCTTGAACAAATATTCAAGGTCAAAGGTCAAGGGTCACATTGCAATTAACCCCATGCTTCTATGACTTTAAGTTTTAAAGTTATAAGGTTTACTAGTAAACGCAAAGACGTTAAAGGGCGATAACTCATATAAGGGGTCACCGGATACTTTCGCACTGAATAGATTGAAGTTGTGTCTAAAGACCCTGAATACATTAGTGAAGGTTTCGTGTCTCTGTGGTTTACGGTTTCGGAGGAGTAGCAATAACAAGGTTTTTTGCACAAGGGGCAATAACTTTTAAAAGGGTTATGCTTAGGGGACAAGTTTGAAATCTTTGAAATAGTTTTAAAAGTACATATTAATGATGCAAAGATATACTGTATATGTTGAAAGACAAAAGAGCTATATAAAGAGCTTTATTTCTCATATTTGGAATGACCTTGACCTTTGACCCTGACATAAACTTCAAGGTCTATGGTTAAAGAATCTAATGCAGTTGGTTTCATGTCTCTACGACTTATCGTTTTGAAAATTTTTCATTATTTGTTAACTTCAAAAATTTTCAGGGGCAATAACTCATAAAAGGGCTCAACGAATCCTTTCGTAATGAATAGATTGAAGAGTCTTCTCAATTAGTCGAAGACATTGGTGAAGGTTTCGTAACTCTACGGTTTACGGTTTCGGAGGAGTAGCGATAACAAGGTTTCTAGTGAAAGGGGCAATAACTGCAAAAGGGGTCAGAGGTTATACGCGTTGGGTCAAATTTGTTCATAACTTTTTATGACCTTTACGATGAACAAAAAATCTTTTCGATAAATGTCGAAACAAAAAATCAGCGGAAGAAAAATAATAATAACTAGATGAGATCTCGTTGCGAGCAACGAGTGCGTCTTCCGTCCGATTTTTGGTAAGATGAGAAAAGGATTTGATTGAGATTTTCGTTCAAATATAATGATATAAATAATTTCTTAAGAAAAACAATTTCCCCTCAGTAACGTGTAACAAAATATTGATCAAAAAAGAGTTATAGATTAAAGACTTTCAGCCCCTCTCGATCCGTATTTTGAGGGGCCAGCCCCTTTTTCTTGATATCACCTTAAAGCTCTCATGATTTTGAACAATTTTCGTTCAACAACTGTTCAGAAATTCTTTTTCGTTTCGGAGTTATTTGCAAAAGAAATATTTAGGGTCGTCCCTTCAATTCCCTAACGGGGACGTTTAGCAAAAATTGAAAGGTTGCACATTGTTAAGAACATTATTTTAAACATCTTTTCAATATTGCTTATCAAAATATTTCCCACTTTCGAGATATAAAGAATCAAAGATTTAGCATTCTGGCCCCTTATGGCCCCTAATTACGAAACATATGAAGTAAATATCATAATATATAGATGTGAATTATGAAGATAAACATTTTTGCTTCAGTATTGTATTACAAAATATTGATCGTTGAAGAGTTATAGATTAAAGACTTTCGGCCCCTTTCGGTTCATAATTTGAGGGGCCAGCCCCTTTTCCTTGATATCACCTTAAAGCTCTCATGATTTTAAACACTTTTTGTTCAACAACTATTCAGAAATTCTTTTCCATTTCCGAGATACTGCAAAAGAAATATTTAGTGGCCAGCCCTTCAACTCCTTTAGGGAGACGTTTTTGAAAAATTGAAAGGTTGCATATTGTTTAGAACATTATTTTGAACATCTTTTGTTCAATATTGCTTATCAAAATATTTCCCACTTTTGAGATATAAAGCGTCAAAGATTTAGCATTTTGGCCCCTTATGGCCCCTAATTATGTAACATATGATGTAAATATCAAAATACATAGTTATAAATTGTTGAGATAAACATTTTTGCTTCAGTAATGCATTACAAAATATTGATCGTTAAAGAATTATTGTTCAAAGACTTTCGGCCCCTCTCAGCCCCTATTTTGAGGGTCCAGCTCATTTTTCTTCATATCACTTTAAAGCTCTCATGATTTTGAACAATTTTTGTTCACCAACTAGTCAGAAATTCTTTTTCGTTTTTGAGATATTTGCAAAAGAAGTATGTAGGGGCCGGTCCTTCAACTCCTTAATGGGGACGTTTAGCAAAAAATGAAAGGTTGCATCTTGTATAAAACATTATTTTGGACAACTTTTGTTCAATATTGGTTATCAAAATATTTCCCACTTTTGAGATATAAAGCGTCAAAGATTTAGCATTCTGGCCCCTTATGGCCCCTAATTATGTAACATATGATGTAAATATCAAAATATATAGTTATAAATTGTTGAGATAAACATTTTTGCTTCAGTAATGCATTACAAAATATTGATCGTTAAAGAGTTATTGTTCAAAGACTTTCGGCCCCTCTCAGCCCCTATTTTGAGGGTCCAGCTCCTTTTTCTTCATATCACTTTAAGGCTCTCATGATTTTGAACAATTTTTGTTCACCAACTAGTCAGAAATTCTTTTTCGTTTCTGAGATATTTGCAAAAGAAGTATTTAGGGGCCGGCCCTTCAACTCCTTAATGGGGACTTCTAGCAAAAAATGAAAGGTTGCATATTGTTTAGAACATTATTTTGAACATCTTTTGTTCAGTATTACTTATCAAAATATTTCCCACTTTTGAGATATAAAGCGTCAAAGATTTAGCATTCTGGCCCCTAATGGCCCCTAATTATGTAACATATGATTTGAATATCATAATATATAGTTGTAAATTGCTGGGATAAACATTTTTGCTTCAGTAATGGATTACAAAATATTGATTGTTAAAGAGTTATTAATTAAAGACCTTCGGCCCCTCTTGGCCCCTAATGTGATGAGTCAGCCCTTTTTCCTTGATATCATATAAAAGATCTTGTAATTCTACACAATTTCTGTTCAATATGTTTTAACAAAATACTCAGAGTTAAAAAGATATCGTAAGAAATGTCTCTAAAATTCACTCATGATTCGTTTCCTAAATTTCGACCCCTACCGAGCTTCCATACTAGGCACTTCCGGAAAATTTGAAAACCCAGGTGATCAATGACAACATGTCCTCTATCATCGCTGAAAATTTCAGCACTCTAGCTTTAATCGTTTTTGAGTTCCATTGCAGACAAGGAGGTCCTCTGAATTTTGATTAAAGGGCGATAACTTCCTACCGGAAGTGAATTTCAAAAAAATGAGAAAAACGTATAAGGTTCAGACAAAGATACATCTTCCCTGAAATTTTCAAGTAAATCGATCGAGCCAACTCCGAGAAATCTTCTGCACAAAAATTGTAAAGAAAAAAAAAGAATAATAATAATAATAAAAGTGAAAAAGAAACAATAGAATAATAGAAGGGTCTTCCGTTGGAGACGGAAGACCCTAATAAGAAGAAGAAGAATAATAACTAGTAGACTAATTGTTCTCGAACAATTAGAGGTCTTTCCACCTTTAAATTTCATATATTCTTCATATTTAACTCTTTACACTTTATTTTTATACAAAAGAAACCAGAAATGGCTTGAGAGATGGAAAAAATGAAAATGTTAAAATTTTGAAATGACCTTGACCTTTGACCTTGAACAAATATTCAAGGTCAAAGGCCAAGGGTCACATTACAATTAACCCCATGCTTCTACGACTTTTAGCTTTAAAGTTATAAGGTTTACTAGTAAGCGCAAAGACGTTAAAGGGCGATAACTCATATAAGGGGTCATCGGATACTTTCGCACTGAAAAGATTGAAGTTGTGTCTAAAGACACTGAATACATAAGTGAAGGTTTCGTGTCTCTGCGGTTTACGGTTTTAGAGGAGTAGCGATAACAAGGTTTTTCGCACAAGGGGCAATAACTTTTAAAAGGGTTAAGCTAAGGGGACAAGATTGAAATCTTTGAAATAGTTTTAAAAGTACATATTAAAGATGCAAAGATATACTGTATATGTTGAAAGACAAAAGAGCTATAAAAAGAGCTTTATTTCTCTTATTTGGAATGACCTTGACCTTTGACCTTTACATAAACTTCAAGGTCTAGGGTTAAGGAATCTAATGCAGTTGGTTTCATGTCTCTACGACTTATCGTTTTGAAAATTTTTCATTATTTGTAAACTTCAAAAACTTTCAGGGGCAATAACTCATAAAAGGGCTCAACAAATCCTTTCGTAATGAATAGATTGAAAAGTCTTCTCAATTAGTCGAAGACATTTGTGAAGGTTTCGTAACTCTACGGTTTACGGTTTCGGAGGAGTAGCGATAACAAGGTTTCTAGTGAAAGGGGCAATAACTGCGAAAGGGGTCATAGGTTATACGCATTGGGTCAAATTTGTTCATAACTTTTTATGACCTTTACGATGAACAAAAAATCTTTTTGATAAATGTTGAAACAAAAAACAGCGGAAGAAAAATAATAATAAGAAGAAGAAGAAGAAGAATAATAACTAGGAGACTAATTGTTCTCGAACAATTAGAGGTCTTTCCACCTTCTTTAAATTTCTTTAATTTTTATATTTTACTCTCTAAAGTAAATTTTTATACAAAAAGAATCCATAAATGGCTTGAAAGATAGAAAAAATGAAAAAAATTTAAAAATTTGAAATGACCTTGACCTTTGACCTTAAAAAATATTCAAGGTCAAAGGTCAAGGGTCACATTGCACTTGA